GATCTGAACATAGGTGTGCATATGTCTATTCGAGTGACGACTCTTATTTCTCTAGGATATATTCCTAGGAGTGGGATTGTTGGATCGAATGGTATGTTAATTTTAACCTCTTTTAAAATCAGAAGGAAAAAATGAATATAACAATAATGAGCAGATAAAAATGAAGATGCCTGGGCTGTAGTTGTCTTCATACCATTGCGGTTGTAAAATATCACTTTTATTATTTCGTTATGGAAGAAGGAGCCCTTGACAGTCATCCTATGGCCCAGGCCAGTGTGGCCGCGGCTCCAGGCCCAGTTGCAGGAACTTTCAATGGAGGAAGGATTCTTCAAGCCCTCAGGGGAGGGGCTGTGAAGGCCATCTCCCCCGACCCACTCCAAAGCTCTGCCCTGGCTCAGTCACAGACACATCGATGTCTCTGAAGGTGTCCCCTCAATGCAGGGCAGGCCTAAGCCCGCCCTCTCCCCCAGCCCACCTTGTCTATCTGCACACTCTTGGAGCTGCAGACTCCTGCTCCTCAGACTCCAGACAGCTCTCCCTCCCTCCTCTTGGCCTCCTGGGGAGCTGGCTCCACCACCAGCAGCCCTGCCTCTCAAGCTCTGAGCCAGGGAATGGGAGGATGGCAGAGGAGACTGGGGGCTACAGGGCCTGTGGTCTCTGGGCAATGGTAAGGAAGGAGCCCTGGGATTTTAAGGTATTGGAAATGTAAGGTTATTTTAGGGGTAAAAATCAAGTTACCTCTTTCCAGAGGGGGAAATTGAGGCCCAGAGTGGTGAAGGGATTCACCCCTGGGTGTCCTGTGGGGCAGAGGCAGTGTAGGGGGCCTGCCCACACCTCAGGCCTTCAGGCTGGTGCCCCAAGCTCTGAGGATAAGGAAGGCATCACCTCTGTCGTTGTCAATTTACAGTGGGTGTTAGAGTCCACAGGGGCATTTCTCCCTGGGAAATCCCTGGGAGGGGAGTGTGGCTGGCACCTGCTGGGTCCAGTTCCCGGCATCCTCAGCTCCTCTGAAGAGTGCTCCCTGCAATTAATCAGTAGCCTCACTGCAAGCAGGAGTTGTTTGCCTTTAAGCTGCCCCAGCCACCGCGCTCCCCCAGCCACTGCGCTCCCCTGGGGGTGTGCGTCCTTCCCTCCTTCAGTACTTCCTTCTTTGTGTATTTACAGAGCACCCGCTATGTGCTGGCTGCCGTGCTGGGCACTGGGCGGGGGGGGGGGCAGCCTTGGACAGGTGGGCAGTCCTGCCCTGTGAAGCTCCTGTCTTATTTACTTGATCTGGGTCTGTGAGCACCAGGAGGGCAGGACTGTGGCTGGCAGAATCCTCTTGTGTCCCCAGGGCTGGCTTATAGCGGGGCTTTCAATAAATGTTCGCCAGCAAGTGAACCAGTAAATGGATGGAGGGCGGGGTGGGAGGTGAAGCTGGTGGCGCAGCTGGACTGCGGGACATTGTGAGCCTTTCTAAGGTACCTGGACTTGGCCCTGAGCGTCCTTGGGAGCCAGGGGTGCGTTGTCAGCAGGGGATCCAGAGTTGAACTGGCGCGTGGAAAGGTCACTCCTGCTCCCACAGTGAGCGTGGGTTGGTGTCGGTGTGGGAGGCTGGGAGGCCAGCCTGGAGATGCCATGATGGCTAGGCGGGTGCTGGCGGTCTGAACTCAATGGACAGTGACAGGATGAGGAAGAGAGAAGATGGTGGGAATGGTAAGAGGTAGGACCCTGCCCACCTGGGAGGTGATGGAGAGGGCAGTGCCAAGGGCTCAGCTTTGAATTTATTGTGAGTGAGGGGCCTGGGGGACACCCAGGGGGAGGCTGGACAGGGAGCAGTTGGACACAGGCTTTGGAGCTCAGCACGAGGCCTGGGTTGGAGAAAGATTTGGGTGAGGGTGTCACCTTGGGCATGGCCAAGATTTGGTGTGTGTGGGCAGGGAAAGGGGAAGGGCAGAGGCAGCCCTGAGCTGCCCAACAGGGGGACCAGGGCATCCCCTAAGGTGGCCAGACCTTCCTGTCCTGGCCTCCTCCCTCCCCCACCTGGTAGCTAGCATTCTTCAATGGATCTGTCTTTCCTATTGGGTATTCCAGCTTCCCCACACAGAGCCCCTTCCCCACAAAGAGACAGCCATGACCATCAGCTATACTCTACCTGGGCCTCGCTGGGGCACCATCCAGCTGTCTCTGGGCCAGGGCAGAAGGCTCATACCTGGGGAAATGAGACGGTGGTGAGGACAGCTCGCCTGTCCCTCCCTGAGTTACTGTAGGGAGTTACCTGGGATCTATGTGAGGAGGGGGCTCAGAGCCTAGGAGGAGAGGTGGCTGAGTCTTGTGGATGAGGCCCCGGGAGGAGCACTGGACTGGGAGTCCACCTGTCCCAGCCCTACCCTGCTGATGTGCTGCAGGACTTGGGACCAGCTCTTCTCTCCTCTGGGCCTCAGTCTTTCATCTGTACAGTGAGAGGCCAGATGGACCAGAGGACCTTCTAGGCCTGGCATGCCAGGGTTCTGGGCACCACCTTGTTTGGGGGCTCCAGGAGAAGGAGGGCAGTGACAGCACAGAGAAGCCTAAGATGTGGTTTTCTGAACGGGTCAGCTGAGTCCAGGACTTGGGCTGCTTTGGGTTTCACCCAGGCAAGACAATGGAAGAGGTGGCTGTGGCTGTCACCCAGCACCTGGAGGAGGGAGGGCATGTCGTGGTTGAGAGCCTGGACTTTAGCATCAGCCAGACCTGGGCTCTGATCCCAGCTCTACTGTTGACTTCAAGCTGTGACCTTGGGCAGATTCCTTAAACTCTCTGCTTCTCACTTTCCTCATCTGTGAAATGGGAATTGTGATATCTACCTTAGGAGTTTATTGAAACGGTGAATGAAACCATGTTTCTGAAAGGAGTTGTCACAATGCCTGTTACTTAGTAGGCATTCCAAATGCTATTTGCTATGCCTGTCATTTGCTTCTTATTATAAGTGAGCTGTCCCTTCTTAGGTGGGAGGCTCAGGGCCAGGCACTAGAGTGGGGTAGGAAAGAGAGTGGGCGTCAAAGGATCCCAGAGTCAGGAGACAAAGCTGAGCGGGGAGTGGGGACAAGAAGCAGTCAGAGGGTAGTTAGAGGAGGAAGGAGCTCGGCGAAGCTGGGCAAGGCAAGCTGTCCTGGTACCTGGGGCTCAGCCTCAGCCCTGCCTAGGGTGGGGGAGGGAATGGCAAAGACATACCTCCTGGGGCCACGGCTCAGCAGGACCAGTGACCTTGTCGGGGCAAGCCTGGAGCTAAAGATTTCTGGGATTCTGAGTCACAGGGGCTGCCAGACCCCATGAGAAGGGAAGAGGTGTGTGGGTGGTATCTGAGGTGAGGTCCAAGACTGTCTTCCTCCTTGCAGTAATTTTCCAAGTTGTGTTTATACCGCCCTGGAACTTCCCTAATCCCTGAAGCCAGAGGGAATTTTGATGTCATGATTTGGATGGGCGAGGGAAGTTTCTGGAGAAGGATGGAAAGAACAAAGGGATGGAGGTTTTTCCATGTTGCTGGACTCAAAGTGCTAAATACAGGACGGGGACCTCCCTGGTGGGTGGGTCTGGGGACAGCGACCTGTGGACAGTGCCAGGAGGTGGGGTCTGGGCCTGTCTGGAATTGGACCTACCTACTCCTGCCTGATGATGGACAGAAAGGATCAGGAGTTTCTTCCTCCTTCCCCCGCTCCCCACCCCGATTATAAAAGTAACACAACACTTAGAAAATAGGTTTGGAGGAAAACCACACATTGTTAACAGTGATTACTTTGGGGGTAGGGTATGAGATTTAGGGTGTGTGGGTCAAGAATTAGAGAAATTTCCACCCCTTTTGTATTGTTTGAATTTTTTATAACTCAGGTGACCAGAATGGTCCTTGTTGGGGGCTGTTGTGGTGGTGCAGTTATTAATATGCCCCTTTTTACTCTTGGGGAGTCCTTGGGTGGTACAGACGGTTAAAACGCTTGGCTGCTAACTGAAAGGTTGGAGGTTTGAGTCCACCCAGAGGTGCCTTGGAAGAAATGCCAGATCTACTTCGGAAAACTCATCCGTGGAAAACTGCATGGAGCACAGTTGTACTCTGACACACATGGGGTCACCATGCGTTGGAGTCAACTTCAGGGCAACTGGTTTGGGTTTGATTTTTCACTCTTGAGCATCTGTTTGGACCCTAAGTTCTAAGATCACATTGTTTATAATAAGCGCGTTTTAATTTTGTAATAGAGTTTTACACGTTCGTTACACAAAGTTCGGCACACACGGAAAGGTGTAGAGAAGAGTAGAGATGACCTATAATTCCCCCACGAGGTTGGCCCTTTGCGGTGGCTCGAAGAGAAGGGACCGTGGAGGTTGTTGCCCGAGTCCAGCCAGCCCTTCCTGGCTTTGTTCTCCATTGGCAGAGGAAGCCCCCTATGGCCAGGGATGTGGAGGCGGTGGGGTGGGCAGGGGAGGAGAGTCTTAGAGGCAGTGGGGCTCCCCTTCAGCCCCCGTGTGGGTCCCAGCCCAGCCAACAGTGATCAGAATCAAACTTGGCAACATGCACATCCTGTGCCTTTAGCGTGTCATACAGGCCCTCAGAGGTGGGCTTCTCAGGAAGCGTTGCAGCCAGGAGTGGGTGTGTTGTTCCCCTGCACAGCTAGGGCGAACGGAGCCCCTGCGACCCCACCCAGGGGTGCGCAGCCTGGCGGTGGCCACCACCCCGCCAAGGGCTGCTCCCCCTGCCCTCGTCCATGAGCGCACTCCAGCAGGTGGAGCCAGCCAAGCTGAGGTTGGACCTGGAGCCCTGGACAGGAGTCAGCTCCCCAGGCTCACAAGGGCGAGGCTGGAAGAGGGGAGCCTCCCAGTGATGCAAGGGGAGCAGAGGGGAGGCAGGCGTCTAGAACAGTCCCCTGGTGGCCGGGTGGGGCCAGCCGCCAGAACGGCTGACCTGTCACTTCTCTGCAGATGCACCCCGGCTGATGGAGCCGCCCCGGGATGTCACTATGGAGCTGGGGAGAAGCGCCCTCCTTGTGTGCCGGGCCACAGGCCACCCGCCCCCAGCAATCACCTGGCGCCACAGAGATGGCCAGCCGCTAGGGCGGGGCAGCAGGACAGGGCAGCGGGATCCAGGAGTGCTATTCTTTGAAAGTAAGAGATTGGGGCTGTGGACGGGGAGGTGCCACTGCTTCTGACGCCCTAAACCCCTAGGCCAGGCCAGGAGCAGGACTCTGACCTCCAGCACTGACCAGGGTCAGGCTGACGTGTGATCACACATTGGCTGGGTAAGCCTGGCCAAGTTGTTCCTCCACTCTGAACCTAGTAATAATAGTGTTAATGACACTACCCCCACGTGGGGTTAACAACAGTACCACCTTCTAGGGTTGGTGTGTGGGTTACATGAGGTAATACACAGTAAGCGCTTAGCGTAGTTCCTGATACATAATAAGCGCTGTGTAAGTGTTAGCCGTTACTTACTACCACTACCGCTGCCACCACGTCCACTACCACTAGTACTTCTATCACTGCTACTTCTACTCTTTCTACTTCTACTGCTACTGCTTCTACTACCGTACTTCTACTTTTACTGTTTCACACTACTACAGGCCCACTGCTGGGTGCTTTATTTGCATCATCTCATTGACCCCTCCCGATTATATTACAGGGTACAGGTAATTATCCCCATTCTACAGAGGAGCAAACTGAGTCCTTCTCATCCTTCCAAGGCCCAGTTGTGCCCCCCGATCCCTCTTCTCTCTGCCATGTCCACCCTCTCACCTGTACCTTGAAGGGCCAGGCTGTGTGGCCTGCCAGCCAACTTCAGGGGTGGCCTCTGCCCCAGGACACAGCCCCAAGGGGCTCCCACAGGCCTCTGGGGGTGCGGAGGGCTTCCCCTGCAGCCTGGGGAGCTGGAGATTGGTGGGGGCTGGAGCCAGGGCATGCGCTGGTGGTCAGGTTTCCTCTTTTCTGTCTTTCAGGTGTGACTTCTGAAGACCAGGCTCCGTACGTCTGTGAAGCTCGCAATATCTTTGGGAAAGTGCAGGCAGAGGCCTGGCTCATTGTCGCTGGACACGGTTCGCTGGTGGATTGGGAGAGGCGGGGAGGGCAGGGGAGATGGGGAGTGGGTCCTTCCTGGGGAGCAGCCAGGCCACGGGCACCCCCAGGGAGGCCTCATATAACCACCCCCATCCTTTGGGACAGATGTGTCCATGCCAAGTTCTCCAAGAGGAACATCTGTATCCCCACTTCCTGGGCAGTGTCTGGGGACCCTTTGACCCTTTAGGATCCCCAATCCTGATGTGCCCACTTGGGAAGGGGAGGGTGAGAAGCAGGGCCTCTATCCCCTGATGACACCACCTCTTTCCCCACAGCTGCCCCACAGATCGCCAGTGGTGCCTCCTTGGTCCGGGTCCTGGAGGGGCAGCCCGTGTCCCTGCCCTGCATCATCCTGGCGGGGAGGCCTCTTCCGGAGAGGCGCTGGCTGAAGGCCGGCCGGCCTGTGAGTGCTAGGCCCCTGAGGGTGTGGTGGGCAGTGCTCCTGAGGATGGAGAGGGGGCTGCTCACCTTCACACCTCAGCCTTTGCTTTGCTGGTCCTCCTTTTTGGAATGTCCTCTTCCTTCCTCTCTGTCTTTCCTGCCTCTTTCCAGAAGCTTCTCTGATAATGCACCAATAGCATCTGTCGCCCTCTAAAGCCCTGCTGATGGATGGATGGCGGCTGCGGCCGCCTTGGGGCTCAGTGGGAGAACCTTGGGCGATATCAGTGCAGACTGGGGAGCAGGGCAGTGGCAGGTTAGTCACGGTGCGAACACAATGCATTCGTCACCCCTGTTCTGATTGTTCCAGTGCAGAGATGTGACGTTGGCTAGTTTAATATTTGCCCTGAATACCTAGCACATTGCCATGCTTGGGTATAGTTTGCCGACTGAATGAATAAATCAAATTCATTCATATCGATTTGATTTTCTTTTATTTCTGCTCTCCTCTTCACTCTTTCTTTGCCTTTCCCTTTTCCTCAAATTTTCTGTCCTGTCCTCAGATATGCCAGGAGTCCCTGTACCCATGAGTCTATGAAGAGGTGCCCTCACCCCTGTTTTAACTTAAGGGGCCCCAGACAGCCAGAACATAGCCACCTAGGGAAGCTTAGACTGCTCAGCCATCCTTTCTGCTCCCTCTGCCCTGGTCCAGGCCTTGTCATTCCCCACTCAGGCTAGTGCCACAGCTTCCTAACAGGGCTCCCAGCCAGGACCACCCGGTGCCTACCAAAGGCAGTACCAGCCCCTTAGCCTGTTTGTCCAGCCCCACCTCTTCCCATTTTAACTGTTTCTCTACATCTGTCTCACGTTCCTACCAGGCCAGACAACTTACTGCTCCACAAATGAACCTTCTGCTTTCCCACAGCGGTGCTTTAGCACATGCCGTTCCCGCCACCAGGAGCACCTTTCCTTGTCGTTTCCACCTGTCTTTATCTTTCTCCTCTCCTTTAATAACAACGCTGAGTACACAGAGGCCAGTGCCAGGCATGCGCCTGTGGGCGTTTTCTCTTTCAATCCTCACACCTAACCTGGAAGGAGGAGGTCTATTGTTTCCCCCGTTTTACAGATGGGGAAACTGAGGCCCGGTGAGGGTAAGTCACGTGCTCAAGATCACATAGCAAGTCAGCGTGGCCAAGCTAGGACAGGAACGCAAGTCTGCTGATTCCACAGCCCATGCTTTAAAACCCAAGCCAGGAGTCAGCAAACTACAGCCCAAGGGCCGCAGCCTGCTTTAGTAATCCAAGTTTTACTGGAACCCAGCCACACCCACTTGCTTTTGTTTTGTATATGGATGCTTTATGTTGCAACAACAGAGTTGAGTTGTTGTGACAGATCATACAACCTAAACTACTTATTCTTTTTGGCCTTTGCAGATTACATGCCACCCCTCCGTAAGGCCTTTGTTGGTTTCTCCAGCTGGAGGGGACTCTCTTTATCCATCCCTCATGGTTTAAAATTACCTGTTTTTTTTTTTTTCCTCTGAAAAATTTTTTTTTTAAGTTGTGGCAGAAGATGCAGCCAGGGCTCACAGGACAGAGACCAGGGCTGCCAAGGGCTGGCTCAGCTCTGGTGGGGAAGGCTTTATGGGTTTCTCCCGAGAATGGACTTGCTGCAAAATCTTACAGGGTTTGTCCCAGGCCCTGTCTGGACCAGCGCTCCCCCACCTCACCCTGGTCCTGATGTGGACAGACTAGGGAGCCACGAGGAGCTGCTCTCTCTGGGATCATATCTCATGTGGTCCTGCCTTGCCCTGCTCTGCTCCCTTTTTCTCTGGCCACAGGCAGGTTGTCCTTCTTCTCTGTGGCCTAAGAGCCCTGGGCTCCAGCCCCCACTAAGTAAAGGCTCTGGCCTCAAGTCTACTTCCCAGGACAGACTCTGGGTCAGGTGTCTAGTCGACCCTGGTCCAGCCAGCCACAGGAGAGGTGGGGTCAGGGGTGTGCAGGGCCCAGGCCCATAGCCCTGCAGGGTCTGTGGAGGGTGGACGGGTCTCAGAGGAGGCGTGAGGGCTGGGCAGTCATGACCCCACTAACATCACATCCCTCAGACCCTCAGCGCTGGCTTCTTGATCCCTCCTGCTCCCTGCTGGCCTGGTGGGCAGCGTAGTTTCCTGAAAGTTCTCTCTTAGCTGGCTCTGAGGGGCCCGTGGTACAAGCTGTGCTTCCCCCACTCACCAGCTCCCACCTGGCAGCCGACATGCTGTCCGAGCAGACGGCAGCCTCCACCTTGACCGGGCGCTGCAGGAGGACTCAGGGAGGTACTGCTGTGTGGTCACTAACACGGCCGGCTCTCAGCGGCGGGAAGTGGAGCTGGTGGTCCAGGGTGAGTCCCTGCCCCCGGGGAAGTGGGAACGGGGGGAGGGGAGTGGAATGGGGGTAGGAGAAGGAAGAACTTGGCCTTGAAAAACTTTATATAAAAAAATTAAACAAATAATACATAGTCACTATAGGAAAATTAGGGATTTGACAGGTAAAAAACCCAAAAACAAACCCAGAATACCAATAGCTAAGAATAACCAGATTTTACGTTTAATGTGTATCTTTTTATATTTTATGCACATGTGAGCACATACACATACTATATATAAATGCCATACTATATATATGTGTGTGTGTGTGTGTGTGTGTGTGTGAGTATGTTTAAAGGTCCCTGGGTGACACAAAGAGCTTGCAGTCAACTACTAACCTAAAAGGTTAGCGGTTTCAACCTGCCCAGTGGCATCATGGAAGAAAGGCCTGGCCATCTGCTTCCATAAAGATTACAGCCAAGAAAACCTTATGGAGCAGTTCTATACTGTAACACACGAGGTCGCCATGAGTCAGAATCAACTTGATGGCAACGGGTATATATACAGGTAGTCCCCGACTTACGATGTATTCATGTTACAACAAACAGCACTTATGACTGTCCCTTTTTCTCTTTTTTTGTACATCTTATCATTAGTAATATGTACTACATTGAATGTTGCAGGATGTAATTTGCTCATGTTATCATTCTCAGATACAGTGTTTCCAACTCCCAAAGACAAAGATTGGATTTATAAAGATACTGATAATAAAAGACTATAATAATGAAAAGTTTTTTAAAAATGAGATATTTGACTTACATCAGAACTGACTTACAACGGAGTTGTTGGAACAGAACCCCATCATAAATCAGGGACTACCTGTACTATGCAGTATGTGTGTGTATATTATAAATTTTTATACAGTTATACATATTAATTCTTTATATATATTCTTTATACATATATTCTTTGTATATATTCTTACTTATCTATATTTGCATACTTTATCTATATATCTGTAACTTCTTTATATACCAAAAAATCAAACCCATTGCTGTTGAGTTGATTCCTACTCATAATACAAGTAAATTATTTTGAAACCAAACTGGGACACATTATATTATTGTCTTAGAACCGGAGTTTTTTGGTTAACAATGTATCATGACTGTTTTCTCTGTTAACAAGTATCAAAAGCACAGGTTTAACAGCTGCAGTGTTCCATCTGGATGTGCCATAATGCCCCCCTGCCCCCTGTCCAGTTTTTCGCTAATGAGGATGAACATCCTTGTACCACAGCTCTGCCCACATGACCAGTTCTTTCCATAGGATCGCTTAATTATTGTGGATTGATTTTTGAGTCATGGAGAGTGCACATTTTTAGGACTTTTAGTATATTTGCCCCAATTGTCCTCCCACCCACAGGGTTCCTGCTTTCCTGCCCTCACCCAACCTGGTATTACTGTTCTTTTTAATGTAAGATGAGAATTTTAAAACTAAGTTTGGTGATATTTTGTTATTTGCCAAGTATGTTAATATCTCCCCCCCCCCGCCACCCCGCATTTGTTTCGTGAAACTCCCCAGCGGTGAGCAGGAAGAACACATCCTTCCTGGATTTATAGAGGAGGAACCAGAGTGCAGAGAGGGGCTGAGCCTGGAACTGGGTGTCCTCTCTCCTCCTAGTCCCAATTAATAATCACAACAGAAGGCTGAGCACTTTCCATGTGCCAGCCCTCTGCTAGGTTCTGTATTTGTTTTCACTTAAAATTTTAAGTGATTTCAATAGACTTTCTTTATTAGAGAAGTTTTAGGTTTACAGAAAGTGCAGAGAGTTCCCATATGCCCTCTCTCCCCCTGCACGCAATTTCTCCTCTTGTTAACATCTCGCATCTGTGTGGTCCGTCATTTGTTATAATTGATGAACTGAAGTCCACAGTTTACATTAGGATTCACTCTTTGTGTTGTACAATTTTATGAGTTTTCACAAATGCATGATGCTATGTATCCACCATTACAGTAGCATGCAGAATAGTTTCACTGCCCTAAACTGATTCCTTTTCATCACTGGATAATAAAACACCAATGAATGGTGTTTTCACTTAATTTTCAAAACTACTCTAAGAGGTCTGGAGCCCTGGTGGCTCTGTGGTTAAGAGCTCAGCTGCTAACCAAAAGGTTGGCAGTTCAAATCCACCAGCCACTCCTTGGAAACACTATGGGGCAATTCTACTCTGTCCTGTAGGGTCGCTATGAGTCAGAATTGACTCAACAGCAATGGTTTTTTTCCTGAGAGGTAGGCTTTTTAAAGACTCCAGATTTTGAAGTTAAGGAAGCTGAGAGGTGAGGTAACTCACCAAGACCATGCACCAGCAAACATCATGGCTGGGATAGACCTCGGCTGCCTCCTGCAGAATGCTGCACCCCTGACTTCCCACCCTGCTCGGCACAGCCTGTCTTCAGGGCTGTCTTGAACCTGCATGGTCCCTCTTGACTCAATTCATTTTTATCCAACAAATATTTATTGGCTTGTTGGCCAAGGTCGCTGGGTGGCACAAACAGTTTGCACTCAACTGCTAACGTAAAGGTTGGTGATTCGAATCTACCCAGCAGTACTGTGGAAGAAAGTCCTGGTGATCTGCTTCCATAAAAGATTACAGTCAAGAGAAACCCTATGGAGCAGTTCTACTCTATAACGTATGGGGTCATCATGAATCAGAGACGACTTGATGGCAATGGGTTTGATTTTTCTCGGTTTTGGCTTTGGCCACCTGGGAGACTCCAGAAGGCATTTCTGTCCTACCGGAGCTCCAAGTTGTACCACCAGAGCCTGTGGTTTCTGGCTCCCCTCCCAACTTTTCCACGCCCAATTTCCCCTTCCCTCACTTCTCTAGAGACCACCATTTTCACGCTTGCAAATCTGGATGGTGCCCAGCATGGATTTGACACCTTTTTTAAGTTCCCCGTGTTCCGTGAACACTATTTTCTCATCTGTCTGTCCCTGAGAGAGTGGACAGAGAATTGGAGTTAATTTCGCTTTTTTGCTGATCAGGAAGTATGGGTACAAAAAGATTAAGTGGTTTATCCAAAGTCCCAGAGCAAAGAAACGGCCCAGCTGGTTCCTGACCACAGGCGGCCCTCCTGTTTCAGGCAATGAATTTAACCATGGTCAGGCACTGGTGGAGCTCTGGTGGTGCAGTGATTAAGAGCTCGGCTGCTAACCAAAAAAAAAACATTGCCAGTTCAAATCCACCAGGGGTTCCTTGGAAACCTCATGGGGCAGTTCTACTCTGCCCAATAGGGTTACTATGAGTCGGAATCAAGTCCACGGCAATGGGTTTGGTTTGGTTTAGACACTGGTAGCTGTAGATGTGATGCCATTTTTATTCTCCTGTTGAAATTGGTTTGTTTCTAAAAGTGCCACCTAGAATCCAGCCCACTGTCACCCACCACGTCACCAATGAAGGCATTCTAGCCTCTCTTCCCTGCGTGGCTTCAGGAGTTCCCACCCCATCCATTACCTGGACCAAGGTAAGCGGAGCCTGATACCAGATAGGTATGATAACCAGACAGTGGGCCCTACTGCATCATGGGAGGGGGAGTGATGAAAGTTGCTGGGGGTGTGGGTGCTCTGCTGATGTCACCTGTGGCTCTGCCCTAGGAAACCAACGCCCTGACCTCTGGGAGTCTCCACTACAATGTGAGTAAGGATGGCACTCTGGTCATTGCCCGGCCGTCCACCCAGGATGCAGGGGCCTATGTGTGCACGGCCACCAACGCTGTGGGCTTCTCCAGCCAGGAGATTCGACTCTCCGTGAACAGTGAGTGATGGCGGCACCAGTCCTGGGAGAGGCGCTCAGTGTGTGTGGAGTCAGGGGGATGGACAGCCTGACCTTACCTGAGTCTTTCTTGCACCCTGAGGATTTATGACCCCTGGCCAATCCTGTCTCTAAATTCTTTTATTCTGAAAGCACACAGACCAAAGTTCTCCTCTCTTGGAGCACTGTCCCAAGTGGTGTGGGTGGACTTTGACAACAGTTCCAACCAGCCCTTTGTAACAAGCCTTTGAAAGACTTCAACGACCTACACTAGACCTCACCAGTATCCCCTCTCTCCCAGCAGCCCCCCCCTAGCCTCTTTCCCCACTCTATGTGCCCCAGACCCTCTGGCCTCCTTTCATTTTCTTGAATGCTCCTTTCTGCCTCAGAGCCTTGGCACAGTCAGTTCCTTCTGTTTGGAATGCCTTTCCTCCGCCACTTGTCCAGCTGATTCCTCCATCCATCAGATCTTAGCTCTCCCCGATCTCTCTGCCTGGATCAAGTCATCTTGCTGTAAACAATCTGGAAGTTCCTCTTCATAGCACTCAACACAACTGTGATTAAGTAACTGCATATTGAGCTGACTGGTGCCAGTATTCCCCATGTATCATAAGATCCATGAGGATAGGGACTGTCTCCTTTGCTGCTGTGTCCCCAGCATCCAGCACAGGGCTGGGCACTCTGTAGCTATGTCAGTGATGAGTGAACAAATACACAAGCCAATCTTTTCCCTCCTACTTTCTTGGAGCCCTGGTAGCACAATGGTTAAGAGCTCAGCTGCTATCCAAAAGGTCAGCAGTTCAAATCCACCAGCAGCTCCTTGAAAACCCCATGGGGCAGTTCTACTCTGTCCTATAGGGTTGCTATGAGTTGGAATTGACTTGATGGCAACAGGTTTTTTTTGTGGCTCTTAGAGCCAATATTTCTATGTTGCAACTTTTTTTTTCCCTAAGAGAGAGATTTCCTCTCTGAATGAATGATTCATGGTATGATTGTAGGGGGGACGGGTGAGGGCTAGATGGGTTTGATGTCCCTACCTGGCTGGCTTGTTTAATGATCGTTGTCAGAAACGTATCTGCTGCCTTCAGTGTATGAGCACCAAGCTAGACATTGGAGGCGGCATAAGGAAAGAGGAGTACGATGTAACCTCTGCCATCAGTAGCAATTTTTGGCTTAATATGAGAGAGAGGTGACATGCACAGGTAATGATAAACCCCCAACTGGGATTTGAGAGAACCAGAGAGAGAGTTTGGTTGATGTCTTGGGAATAAATGAGATAATCAAGCAGGAGAAGGGGGAGAGGAGAAAGTCCCTGGGGAAGGGACACGAGGATGAAGAGAAGCCAGAGGAGGTGTAGACATTGCAGCAGGAGAGACCATGTCAGGGTCATCAGAGAAAGACGAGTTTCTGAGGGAGAGTGGCTCGGGGGGGAGGAAGAAGGGAGAAGATTGAGCGAGAACCATTGGATCTGAGCACTACGTGTAACCTGCACCCTCCTTGTTATAACAGGGTCACCCCTGCCTTCTGGGCCTCTAAAGGGTCTTGGGGAGCTACTCTGGTCTCCTCCAGGCCCCCTACCCCATTCATTCCTGCACTGCTCACAACTCCTGCTTGCTTTCACCCACAGCCAAGCCCAGGATTCATGTGAATGGGTCACAGGATGCAGACAGGCCCCTGAGGGTCACGGTTAAGGCCAGTGAAGAGGTGACCCTGGACTGCGAGGCCCAGGGCTCCCCACCCCCACTGATCACCTGGATGAAGGACTCCTGCCCCATGCCACTTGTCCCGGACAGGTAACTAGTTGAGTGGCCTCGGGTCGAGGAAGGGGCGGAGCTTGGGGTTTGAGGGATAACTGGCCTCATGGCAACCAGTGACTAAGCAAGTGTGTTGTTGGACCCTGTGGACCTTCCTAGGGGTGCTCATTCGCTTCTGCACACAGGCTTTTTATGTTCTGCAGGGGGTCTATGGACCCCCTGAAGCTTCTCAGTGGACCTCTAAGGGTGCATGGAGGCCCAGGATGGGAGCCCCCTCTGAGCGCCTCCATGCACTGCTGCCGGGTCAGTTAATCCACTCAGCAGCCCCTGCGATCTGAACTGATCTGGAGAGATTGAGGCACAGAGAGATGGGGCAAGTGGCTCATGGTCCCGCAACTAGAGAAGAGAAAGCCAGGGTTGGGATGGCATCCTGACCGTTGCACAAGCTCCCTGCTCGCCTACTGCCGCAGACCCAGGTGTCTGATGGCAGGGCGTTCTGACTTAGAGCTTCTCCCTTGCCCCTCCAGGCCTTTTGCAGGCCCCACCTTGGGATCCTGGGGGTGGGCGGTGAGCAAGGAGGCTGGCTTGGGGCCTTCTTCAAAGCCAAGACTTACCCCCCAGGCAGGGGTGTGTGGGATGGTGGTTCTGGCTGACAGGAGGGGGATCCTTGACCCTGAGAGGGGACTGCAGCTCTGGCCAGTGATAGCAGCTCTGGCAAGGTCTCTGAGAATTTCCAGACTGAACAGGTGTCCGAGCAGCCCTTTCCCCCCCGCCCCCGACACCCACACATGTGTCTACATGTCTCAGAGTATCTGTTTGGTAGGCCCTTCCAAGCCATGAGCCAATACCTGTGCACCCTTGAGTGTAGCCCGGGGGGCTCTGCCAGCTGAGGGAGAGAGAGCTGGGCTGGGTCGGCAGTGTCTCTCCACCCCCTGCCCCACTGGTGTCAATGAAGCTCCGTGTCGTGGGGGAGATGTGTAGGGGACTTTCCACTCTAAGCTGGGTCCAGAGGAGCCTGCATGTCTCCTCAGAAGGCCTGGTCCTGAGCGCCTGGGCCTGGCCGTGTGGGCTGTGTGCTTTTTTATTTATGGCTTATTACTGAAACGGGGAACCACATTCCTATTTATTCACCCCTCCTTGTTGTGATGCATTAATAGATCACCCGGGAGCTATAAATTTGCAAGAAGCGCTTTTGCAATCCTAGAATTTTGTTCTTTTCCTTCTCCTTTACCCTCTCAACTTCTCACTGGCTTACATTTTTCTCTTGAGATTTATGAGATTCTGGGAGTTTATTTAAATGAGGAAGGAAAATATGCCTTGGGCAGTGGAGGAGAGGGCAGCGGGTTAAGAGCTCAGACCCTGGAATTCATCAGCCCCGACTGTGAATCCACACTGCTTCCTTACTGGTTTTGTGTGACCTCCAGGGGCTGCTAGTCCCCTGGGCCTGTTTCTCCGTCTGTAACAGTGGACATGATTTAAATCCTGCTCTTGTGGTACGTGGAGGGGAGCAATGTTGTTCACAGTCTACAGAAACAAAAGCACATGGTTGTGGGGGAACTGGGATATCTACCTTCTACCTCCCAGGCCTGGGCCTTAACATGCACACAGACCCAAGAACACACAGACACGCACACGGACACACATAGACACCCACACAGGCACGAACATATGAAGACATGCACAAGACGTGAATATACACAGGCACAAGGACACAGGTAAGCACACAGACACAACACACATACATACAGACATGCACACAGACACAACACACATACATACAGACATGCACACAGGCACAGCTATCCGCAGACATGCATGAAGACGTGCACACAGACACACATACAGACAAGACCACACACAGACACAAGCACACTGACATGTACACACAGGCTTTCAGGCCCAGGTCAGGCGGGCAACTGTTTTCTCGGGAGATTCTGGAGACTATTCTGAACTCTTAGGTATTCTAGACCCCCAGAGTCAGAAAATTCTATTCAAAGAAAACATACCAGGGGCTCAAGCAGCCATTAAATTCTAAACCACCTACCTGTGTCCACTATCCCTTCTAATTTGTTGATGTACCTGTAGCTGCTTTTTAGAACTTAACTTTGTGCACCTTATATTCTGCTCTTATTATTGATTTTTTCCCCCTTTTATCCCTTTTCTTGATTCATCCTGGCCCATGTCACTTGCTTTTTATTTTAAAGGGCAAAATAACATTCCAGGGCGTTCAGCTTTCATCATTGCTAAGCTGTTCCTCTGTTTGGGGTATGTGATTAACTGCCAGTTTCAGACAGTACTAGATGGGGCTGCTGGAACATCTTTGCACAAATGCTCCTCTTTATCTCCGGGGTTACTTCCTTGGGGTATAGTCCTGAAAGCTACGGCTAAGTCCAAGAGTGGGAATGATCATTGGATGCTTATTTTCCTGAGGGGCTGTTGCTTTTGAAAACAGTGTTTGGGTTGTGGACTCAAAATTGAAGTCAACAGCATTTATTGAGCATTATCATGTGTCCAGGACTGTGCTGAAATCGCATCTGGGAGAGAACTCACTGGAACGTGAGTTAAGGTGGAAAGAGGGCTGGGATCTGATCCCAGCTATGCTCCAACTTACTATGTGAACTTGATCAAGACCTTCCCTGCTCTGGGCCTCAGTCTTCAAGTCCGAGAAATGAAAGGGCTGGACAGGCCGTGGTCTAGCAGCTCTGGTCCCATGATTCAGCCTGGGGATGCTGGGCTGAGGCGGTGTTTCTAGGCAACAGTGTTTGTTTGGGATTCTGATGTGTGGCCGGGACAGCTGTGAGCACTCCTGGCTCTGGCTCTGTCTCCCGGGGGCAGCCGGCCAGGGTCCCACACGAGGCCAAGTTCAGCCGCATCTGGGGGAGGCAAGGGGGGCGGTGGCGGAGAGAAGGGGGCAGTGAGAGGATGGTGCTGCTTCTGTCTAGCAGCTCCTGATTTTCTTATTTTTATCCTCCCACCACCCTTCTCCCCTGCACCACTCCAGAAGTTGCTATAGGATAGTCAACCCACCCACCGCCTCCCCTGCAAGAGGGCTATGGCCCCAGTTAACCCAGAGCCGAGAGGTGAGGGTGGCAGCTGGGGCGCTGGTGACCCAGGAGAAAAGCTGCTCACTCCCTATAAGCCACTGGCATGGCCTGGACGGGCCGGAGCCCCTCGTGATGTCTTCACCTTAGTGAATTGTCACAGCTCCTGCTGGTTCCTGGCTTGGCAGCTCTGAAGCCGGGTCTTGTTAGTCTACAGCCTGCAGCTTTCTTTCCAGAGAACAGTCACATTAACTAAAACACAGAGTCAAACGTTTAGATCACCACAGCAATGAGGAGCGTGCCTGTAGTCCAGCGGTCAAGTCCCACTTCTGTCCTGAGTAGCTGCGTGGCCGTGGACAGCAGGACTTCATCTTCCTGAGTCTCAGTCTTATCGTCTGTAAAAGGGGTTGAAGATCATGGGATTTGCCTGACTTACAGGTGTGGCTGTTGCAAGTTTCAAGTGAGAATGTGCATGGGAGGTGCTTAGCTGCATGGCGGCACACAGGAGGTGCTCAGTAGTTGACGGCTGCTGTTGGCATCTGCACCATTGCTGGAGGGTCTGCCTTATCTGGGCTTTTGAGGATGGCGTATTCTCTCTCTCATATTGTGCTTGGCTGTTAGGTTTCCAAGGGTCCATATCAAGCCCCTCTTCCTAAGTTTCTCCAGCTTAGCTTCTCCATTTGTGGCTCCTTATAAGGGTAGGTGAGGTGCAGCCACAGTATGGAGATGAGGGCCAGGACTGCCATTTGTGGAAAAGGGGGCCCTCCAGGCTGACGGGTCCTGGTGGGTGGGGCCCTTGCCTGGCCCAGGATCAGACCCTGCCAAGCCCCAGGAGACACAGGGCCTGACATGAAGTTCGCACGCAATGGGCATCTGTTGAGTGTTGCCCGACTGCGTACCCTGTGGGTGAGGCTCAGCCCTCGATGGGATGGGTAACTGTGGAGAGTGCTGTTCCTTGAATGGCCATTGATGGCACTCGTGAAAGTCTCTGCTCACACCATGAGGCTGGAAGTGCTTTCAGGTTGGGCCCATTATAAACGGAGGCAGCAAGGTGAACATCATGAGAGATAGCAAGAGGGACTGGGGCACAGATAAAGAACCCAAACTTTAAGCTCCCCGAGGACAGGGTCATTTCCTCAGCCTCAGCAGCACCTGGGCCACCTTGAACCCAATGGCTCTTTATTGAATGAATGAGCGAGCTATTGGCTGAACTGGGCTTGATGCAGCTCAGAGCAAGAAAGTTGAACTTGGCCTGGAGTCAACAGGGAAGGCTTCATGGAAGAGCTGAAGCCTGTGTGGTCTTGAAGGGGGTGCGGGAGGGCACGAGAGGCTTTGCGACAGGTGGAGGAACAGTGCGAGTGAAGGGGGAAAGGGAAGTGTGTGTAGCATGGACAGAGGACAGCTGGAATTTACCATCAAATATTTATTGAGCACCTATTATGGGCCAGGGCCCGGGGTAAGAACCAGAGATATGCTGAGACCAGTGCAGACCTGGCTTCTCCTTGCAGACACTGACAGGTAGTCACAGGTGTGAAGTCTTCAGGAGTGTGTGACTGGAAGCCAGCCTCATCTGAGTCACAGAGGGTAAGCAGGAGTTGGAGAGACAAGCCAGAGCTGGGCTGCCTTGGAAGTGTGGGTGGGGAATGAGGTAAACAGGTGTGCCTGGAGACTTGCATTATTCAAGTACTTTCTATCAGATGCCCTTTGGTCTTTCTGGAAGGTAGGTCCCTCACGGAGCTTGAGGGCAGTGCCCTGCGAGGTCCCGTTTTGGTCCCCACTTCTCCCATCTGAACATGTGGGGCTGGCTGTGTGAGCTTTGCTGCCGACGAGGAAAGCGCAAGCCTGATGGATGTCATAAACAGGAAATTCCCCATGAACCTCTCTGTGTTCTCATCTGGGCGCTCCATGGAGCCATCTGGCTACACACGCCTCCTCGATGGGGTCTGCTCCTGCTAATTATGGGCGCACACTCCACAGCTGCATGTTCCTTGGAGACACTTGGTGTCTTCCCGTTTCCTCCCACCTCTCCTCTTCCCTGATAGGCTGCAGTTCCCAACCTCCTGCTGAGCCTCAGGGAACAGGGAAGCAGAGCTGTGATGGGGCAGAGGGAGGTGGCAGTGGGCTGCCCTGGAAGCCCCCCAGGCCACCTCCTGTCCAGCCAGGCCCAGTTGCTCCTGCTTTACCCTTTGCCTAAGTCTTACTGGAGCTTGTGCAGGGGTCACAATAAAGGACATTGCCCTGGTCTACATCTGGGCAAGGTTCTGGAGATACAAAGCCCGATGGGTAGGTAACAGGCAGTCACAAGCCAGTGTGGTAAGGGCTGTGATGGGGGAGGCGCAGGCAGCTGTGGGAACCCATAGGAGGCACTTACTAGCCTGGCACATCAGGGCAGCCTTCCTGGAGGAGGTGATATCTAATTATTGAAGGATGAGCAGATGTTATCTAGGTGAGCAAGAGATGGAGGAGTGTCCCAGGGAGAGAGAACTGTAGTGTGTATGTGAAGGTGAGATGGACCTGCCCCTCTAAGGGAGAACAAGTGATCCAGGGCCACCGTGCAGGAGATGCCTGTGGTAAACTTGGGGGGCAGATGGGGCTGGACCCTGCAGACCCCCACAGGCCATTCTACTGAGCTTGGACTTTGTCTGGGGAGCAGTGGGCAGCCACGGAGGGAGCAAGGCAGTGACATGGCCAGATTAGAATTTAGAGTAGGCACAGACTCTTCAGGGCAGGCACTGGGTCCTTTGGCCTTTGAAGGCCTCAGCTTGTCCATCTGTAAAATAGATTCTCCCTTCTTCCATTTCTTCTTTGTGATATAGCACCCCCTTTCTGAGAAATGATCTGGGTGTGCTGGTTATAAGAAAGGCAACATGATGCCTACTCTTAGAATTGTTTCTACTTTTTGGAAGTTTTGAAAGTTTCTTGTATTTTTTTTTCCAGGATGCTGCCATAACTGAGTTCCCACCTCCTATCCTTTTAAGGGCTTGATGAGGGAGGGAGTGGGATGTTCTATGGTCCTTAAGGTTCTCAGAAGAACTGGAAGGCAACCTCTGAGATAACTGAGTCCAGAGCTGCCTTTTGAATATGAAGAAAGTGAGGATCAGAGATGTCAAGTGCCCTGCCCAGGGTTGCCCAGCATGTCCGTAGCAGAACTGGACCTTGGACCCAGAGCTCCAGATTCTTGGTCCAGACCTCTTTCCACTGACCCCCATTGTCCTCATTTCACCAGCTGAGGGGTTGCAGTAAGGTCTGGGGTGGGAACCGCATCCCAGCCCTGAGTGTGATTGGGTGTATATGATTCAGCCCCAAACAAATTTGGCCCTTGCTTGGTAAGGGTTGACACATCAACGTGATTTAACTTAAAAAACACGGAGGATGAGAAAATCCAGGCTGGGGAAGTGGAGTCACGCCAGGGAAATGTTTACCCATCCTAGAATAAATAAACATATGTGGTCTTTTTCCTCTACACTTTAAAGATGAACTGATGTGCTCAGGGTCGCCTAGCTGATTGGAGACTGGGAGGCTACAACCCAGACACTAGCAGGGGGTTTGCATCATACTAGGACTGTCCACTGAGCACTTGCTATGTCCCAGACACTGTAGCTTTACAAGCATCATGTCATTTTCATACCACATCCATGAAATGGATATGCATATCATTCCCATTTTCCAGATAAGGAAACTGAGGCTCAGGGAGATGGAATCCTTGGCACAAGGTCAGCCTGTAAGTGGCAGGATGGTGGTTCACACGGGGGCCACTTGCTGTCAAAGCCCTGCTCCCATCTGCTCTGCTTCCCGGGGCAGAGGTACTTCTTCGTGTCCCTGGGCAGTGTCCCCAAGGGGGGGGGTCCCCCGACCACCTGTATTAGAGCCACCTAAGGCCTTGTTAAAACCCGAATTACCCCCTCACACACACACACACACACACACTGAGTCAGTCTCGGGGGGGGGCCTGGTAATCTGCATGTTTCACACACCCCTGGGAAATTCAGATGAGGGTGAGTGCCCAGCAAGGAGTGAGCGCTGGACCCGCCTGACAGAGCTGACGGTGCATGAGCCTGTGGTCTAGCAGTGCCACTCCTGTGTATGAGAGACTCGGATGACAGCATGCAGAGGGCCCTGTTGGTGAGCGGGGTGAGGAAGGAGACAGCAAGAGGGACAGAGAGAGAAAGCAAGGGGGGAAGGGAAGGAGAAAGACAGAAAGCAAGGAAGAAAGAAAGAGAGAAAAGAAAGAAAGGAGAAAGGAAGAAAGGGAGGAAGGAAAAGAAAGAAAGAGAGACAAAGAACCTAAGTGCCTACATGTTCACCGCAAAGAGAATATGTTAATAAAATGTGGAACGGTCACACAAGGAATATCAAACAACAGTGAGAACAAATGAACTAGCCTTACACACTTCCACACGCCGCCATTGATGTCAATGTTTTAAAACATGCAAAGCAGCATTGTGTATCATGTGCGGATGGGCCACCATCACCATCATGACAGCTGGCCTTTGTTGAGGTGTCTCTGTCCCAGGCACTGCTCTGTGAATTGTCATCCAATCCTCTTGACAACCCTATGAGGGATAAGTAGTATTATTGTCTCTATTTTCCAAAATGAGACAACTGAGGCACCAAAAGTGACTTGTCCAGCCTCATGCAGCAAGCATACGGCAGAGCAGGGTGGGGACTCAGCTGGTCTGGCCCAGGATTGGGGACTAGAGACTGCTGCTCAGTTTATCATTCACAACAGTCCTCAGAGAACTTGTCCCATGTGCATGCTGGATGCTTGCGACAAACTGAGGAGGAGGGCTACTGGGCCGGGGGATTATTACCCCGTTTTCTAGGTAGAGAGACAGGCCCAGCAGGGCAAAATGAGTAGCTCGAGGTTGCACAGCGAGTGAATCGATCTATTTGATAACTATGTCCCCTGAGCTTTGTTTACAGCATCTCACGTGATCCTTGCAGCTGCCTGGGAGGTGGGGGGCTGTGCTGATCCTATTATACAGAGGAGGATACTGAGGCTCAGCAGAAAGGGAGGTGGGAAGCAGGACTGGAACCCAGGCCTGTCTGGCTTCAGCGCCCAGCTGGTAACCTCTGATGGGTGAGGCTGGAGGACTGACTTTGGGGTTCCCCACCACTGTGCTGGCTGCATGCTCTTGTGGCCATCCAGGGCCAGTGGCCACAGCTTCCCTCCCTGTTTTGTCGGAGCAAGGACTGCAGGGAGCTAGCACATATGGGCTGGTGATGTCATGTCTGCAGGGGCCCCTTGGGGTCTGGCCCAGCTGCAGGAGCCTGGCTGAGGATCCCAGATTACTGTGGGATGGGGGTCAGGTGACTTCAGCAAGATGGGCTGAGTTGAGTGGGGTCGGGGGTTGGGGGTGGTGGTCAGTGGGATGGAGGCTCAGCAGCTTCCTCCTGGAGGGCCCTGAACACAGATCCAGGCAACAGAACAGCAAAAGGCGCTGGTTTAGGAGTCAGGCCAGCCCCAGCACTTAGAGCAGAGGACCTCGGGGCTGGTGGCATCTTCTCGAAGCCATGGCATCCTCCTCAATGAGGCTCATCCCCACTGTGCAGGCTGCTGCCGGCAGTCAGTAGGTACGCTACAGTCACCCAGGTGCCAGGCCTTGGCTGGGCCCACAGTGGATTAATTCTTCACCAGCCCCAGGGGCAGGCCCTTATCCTCATTCTCCAGATGAGGACGTGGAGGCTCCAAGAGGTAAAGCGACTTGCCCAAGGCCACACAGCTAGGAAGGGTTCAGAGTCTGGACTCAAACCCAAACTGGTGAACTTATCTAGTGCTCTTTACCTGTTACGCCAGTAGGGGTAGGATTTGGCCCTGGCCTGGCAGCTCCCAAGCCTTGGCTCAGGGAAGTGAAGGTGGGTAGGGGCAGGAATGGAGGACATGCTGAGTTCTGGGGGCGGAGCCAGAAGGGGGCCCAGATGTCAGACTGACAAACACTGATTTAGTCTCGGAAGCCTGCTTGGGGGAGGCGGCTGGTTTGAGTGGGGTCTTGAGGACTTATCAGTGGAGCCAGGGTTGGTTAAGGTCTCACTAGTGTCCCTCTCCTTCTGTAGGCACAGCCTGCTCCCATCCGGCTCCCTACGTCTGACCCAGGTCCAGGTCAGTGACAGTGGCCGCTACCAGTGCAAAGCCAGTAACCCCGCAGGGTCTGCCTCCCGTTGCTACATTCTCGAGGTGCAAGGTAGGGCCTGGGTCTCTCTCCCTCAGACCCTGCTCCCCAGCACGCAGCGCCCTGTTCTTCCCTCTGTCTGTTTCTCAGGCCTTCTCAGCTCCCCGCGCCCCCATCTCCCTCAACTCCACTTCCATGCCCAGCTCTGCCATTCCATCCACGGCACCCTCCAGCTCTTCCTGTCCTTCTCAAGTCCTGTCTCTCTTTCTTCTCCAGCCCCTTTCTCCACCTCTCCCCATGCCCCTCAGTTGGGCCTGGAGAGGCTATTCAGAAGCCCCCTGAGAATAGAGGGCAGGGCCCAGTAGGGGCCTAGGGTGGCAGGGGACTTGGGGTTTGGGAGAGGTCCTGTGAAGGGGGAGCAGTGGGAAGGTAGGGTCTGAGAGCATCTCTGGCCACAGGAGCCCAGAGTTTGGAAGTGTTAAGAGGCAGAGGCTCATGGGATGCCACTCTGAGCCCCCTCCTGCCCCTGCTGACCCCAAAAGAGGCCCTTTGCAATCTCCCACCTACGCCCAGTCACTAAGGCACTTGGAACAGTGACCACAGTGGTCCTTGCCACTTAGTGAGCGCCGGCTGTGTGCCAGGCTCCATGCTGTGCTCTCTATATGTATCGCTTCCTCTTTTGGTTTATAAGGCCTGGGATCCCACAAGTGGGCATTCACCTGGGTGTCCAGGACCCACTCAAAGAAAGCCAATCAGTGTCAATTACCACATCAGAAAGGCAGAGACTTTTCATCTCAAAGAGCCTAAGGGGTCATCTAAGACAGGGGTCAGCTAACTACTACGTTCAAGCCAAATCTGGCCCACCACCTGCTTTTGTATGGCCCTCAAGCAGAGAATGGTTTTTTCATTTTTAAATGATCATAAAGGAAAAAAATACGAATTATATGAAATTCACATTTCAGTGTCCATAAGTAAAGTCCTGTTAGAACGCACCCATGCACATTCGCTTATGTATTGTCTACGGCTGCTTTCACGCTGCATCTGCAGGTTAAGTAGTTGAAACAGAGACTGCCTGGCCCACAAAGCCTAAAATATTTACTGTCTGGTCCTTTACAGAAATAGTTTTCCAACCCCCAATCTAAACTAACGGTCCATTTCACAGGTAGACAGGCAGAGGCCCAGAGAGGGAGAAGCTCCAAGGTTTGCATGAGTATGTGAGTGAGACATGAAGCAGGGAGGCAGGATAACGAGGCAGAGCTGGGTTCAAATTCTGGCTCTGCCACTCACTGCTGTGTGACCTGAGGCCAGTTGCTTGGCTTCTCTGAGCCTCAGTTTCCCCCTTGTAAAGTGGAGGGCACAATAATGCCCATCTCATAGTCATAAGAAGGTGTTGGTGACATAAAGCACTCAGCAGAGTGGAAGCTGTTATTGTCTTTAGCAAGTGTGAGAGAGAGACAGGCAGACAGGGCATGTGCGCTTTCGTGCTCCTGGGTAGGGAGCCCTCCCAGGCAGCGGGGTCCTGGGCCAGGGGGTGGTCTCTGCCCAGGGGCTAGGTTCCCACCTATGGTCCCGTCCCCAGGCTCCTTCTCAGAAGCTGAGAAGGGGGTGGGTGTTTCTCAGTGCCCCCTGAAGGTCCAGTACCACTTGTCCCAGTCTGTCATGCAGCACTCAAAGCCAGGTGGCCCTGGGCTCTAAGAATTCACCTAGGCCCATCAGGTCAGCCCCATGAGGGGCCCCCTGGACTCCTGTCCACACAGACTCCGAGTCAATGTCCACACTCCAGCTCCTACCAGCTGAGCGGGTGAGTAACTCTGGACAAGTCACATAACCTTTCTGAGCCTCAGGTTCCTCATCTGCAAAATGGGCCTGGCATCCCCCACCCGGTAAGAAGTGCTGAGTGAGATGAAGGATGAGAAAGTGACTTGAAAACATGAATCCAAAAGAAGCAAAACCACTCCCTACCCCTCCACCAGCCGAGGGGAGGGAAGAAGCAAGGTGGGAATAATGAGAATAACCGTACCCCAATATGAGGCACCCACGGTGGGCCAGGATCTGGGTTAATCACTTTAGTGCCACGTGAGTCTCATGTCATCCTCAGGGCAGCTTTGTCATGAGGGGGAAGCTGAGGCTCCGGCTGGTGGGGGTTCTTGTGCAGGGTCCTGTGGCCCGTGAGGGGCTGAGCCATCTCACCCAGTCATGGGCTTTGAGCTTCCTCTGTGTGTTCTCCCTCTCGACCTTGCTGTGTGACTTTGAGCCCGTCTCTCCCCACTCTGGGCCTCAGTTTCCCCATGTGTGCACTGAGCTGGAAGCTTCCAGGTGTTGGTCCTCAAGAGAGTCTGGTAAACAAGTTAAGCCTCGATGAGCGAGTGATTCATGAGAGTGTGTGTGGGTAAAAGGCCAGACACTACTCACTTTTGGGGGTCCAGAAATAGGGTGTCCTAATGTCTCTTCTTGACAAAGCAGAGAGTCGGCGGCCTTGGATTGCCCCCCACAGTGGTAATGTTGCTGGTCGGTGATGTGCAGGGGTGTGGGGGGCCCTGCTGCAGGCAATGCTGTCTCCATGGGCCGAGGGTCTGGGATCCCCTGCCTTGACCCCTCCCGTGGCCCTGTCAGTCCCCCCTCAGGTGCAGCTGGGCCCACGTGTGCTGAAGGTGCTGGTGGGTGAAGCCTTGGACCTGAACTGCATGGCTGAGGGCAACCCGGAGCCTCAGCTGAGCTGGTCCAAGGACAGCGTGGCCCTGCAGGACCAGGTGCCCAAGGGCTCCATCCACTTTGCCGCCATCAAAGTCTCTGATGCTGGGATGTACCGCTGTGAGGCCTCCAACAGCGCTGGGGTGGATGCGTGGGAGCTGGAGCTCAGAGTGCTGGGTGAGTCTCCCTGAACCCCAGAATTTGCCTCACCCCATCTCCCTCCAACCACAGCTTAGACTTATGAGATGCTTGTCTGCTGCTCCGGGCTTGTCACCTTCCTTCCTGGGGTCAGAGCCCTTGCCCTCTCTGGGACTTCCCTGGGCACAGAGCCCCCATGCCCTCTGAGTGCAGCTGTTAGGCAGGGCAGGTATCTGAGAGCCTTGGTCAGCCCAGTGGGTACTAGGTAGGTCCTTCTAGCCACCACCAGGGGATTCCCTGTTCTCCTTCCCCACAGGCCTGTGATCTGTCAGGCTTCTGAGTTCAGGGGGTGGTCAGAAGGCACTCTGGGCTAGTGAGCCCAAGTCCAGCCTCTTCCGCTTACTAGCTGGGCAGCCACAAGCCAGTCATTTACACTCTCTGACCTCTAGTTTTCTCATCTGTAAAATGTGTCCAATAATATGTGAAGGTCAGCAAGAGAATGTGTGTAAAGCACCTGGAGCATAGGAAGTTCTGGATCAATGGTGCTAGCATTTTTCACTATTATAAATATAAATGTTTATTAATTTAAAATGAAGTTGCAAAGCCACTGCTGGAAAGGAGCCCCTTGTGGTTGGGAACTCAACCAAGCTCAGCCTTCCATTCTGTGGGGTTGTGGCCCTGGGGACTTGTCCTTCAGGAGGCAAGCCAGCTCCATTGGCCCTGTGGGCCAGACCATGCGGCTTGTGCCCCTCCTTATGCCCAACTGGGATTCTGGAGAGGAGATGCTCTCCCTGCTAGCCCAGGGTCCTTGGGGAGTGCCAACCCGTGGGTCCTGGAGATTGAGCGTGGTCATGTCACCTCCCACCAGAGCCACCGCACTGGGGGGCCGAGGAGCCCAGCGGCCTGCTGGAGCGAGTGGCCGGAGAGAATGCCAGCCTGCCGTGCCCTGTCAGAGGTAAAACGGGCCAGGGTGAGCTGTGGAGGTGAGGGGTGGGCCGGGCTAGGGAGGAGTCCCCCTCTCCCCCCGCCAGTCCACATTCCAGTGCCCTGGATCACACACTGTGGGTAGTACCCATGAATTATGGAGGCTTATGCGGTCCTTGCTGCTTGCCAGGGTGAACCCAGGTGTTGCATCCCATCGATCACCCTATAGGATGGGTATTAGATTAGCTCCCTTTTATTCGGGCAACCAGGCACAGAGGGGCTATGTGACTTGCCTGAGGTCAAACAGTCAGGTGGTGATGACAGAGTGTGGTCTGGTTTGACCCCAGCCCTGCCTGTCCCTTTAGCCCTGTGCCCCTCTGTGTCTGCTGGGGGAGACCCAAGGCAGGGCATCTGGGGGATTGTGACAACCAAGGCTGAGGAAGGCCCAAGGGTCCTTGTGTTGGGGCTTGGTAGCCCCTGCCTCTTCCCAAGCCCCAGACTTGCTCATGGAGGATGGATTCACTCAGTCCTGGGTAAACCAGCCCTTTGGGGCCCCCTTTGGGGTAGCAATGCAGCGTGGAGCCGAGATGGATACCTCTGCCATTAACTGCTCAGCCTTGAACCCTGCTTCAACCCTTCCTGCCTGTGTAACTTGGGGCAATTTGCATTACCTTTCTGAGCCTCAGTTTCCTCTTCTGTATAGTGGGGTACTACCAGTGCTGGGACAAGTTGGTGGGAAAGCGTAAGTTTTCCAGGTCCCAGCACTGTGCCTGGTGTGCTGTGGGAACTCGGGGAAATGTGTGGAATGAATGACACCACTTTTCTGTAAAGCCTCCCTGCCCACCCAGCTGATCCCACTCCCTGACCGAATTGCTTCTTTTGGGTTTAGGCTCATATGTGGGCATTTTCTGTTTCCCTAACTGACTTGTGAGCTTCTTGTCTCTTGAGGGCATACTGCCTCCCTGTGATTGGGTGGCATCCCCTAGAAGGGTGGGTGAATGGGTAGCAAGCAGCAGGATAGGAAACGCCCTGGCGGGAGCCAGGAAAGCTGGTTTTAGTCTCAGCTCTGCCTCTTCCTGCTTCAGGGCTCCCAGGGAGTCCCTGGGACAGGACAGAGGGGGAGGCAGGGAAGACAGGGGCCAGCTCTAGCTCAGGGATGGGTGGTGACCAGCTGCCCACCACATCCTGGGCAGGAGGCAGGCACCCCGGATGAAGCTCTGGAAATCTGCAGGTTCCCCTGACTACAGCTGCCCATGCTGGAGTGGCCCCAAGGTTCCAGGCCCTTGACCATGGCGCCACCTTGTGTCACTCTCTGATAATAGCAAGCAAATGTTCTACTCTGCGGAGGTGGGAGGTGGGAGCCACCAGCACAGGCCTCCTGCTGTCTTTGTACTCTCCCGCTGCCCACAGTCCCCAGGTTCAGCCCTGGCCAGTCAGGGGCCTGTCCAGCGTTCAGCCTTGTCAGCATAACCCAAGCCCCCGCCAGATAAACACTCCCTCCCCCTGACCACGATGAGCCCTTGACCTTCCTTTTTAAGCAGGTGACTGCCCTTGTTGCTGACTTTGGACGAATCATTGCTCCTCGCTTGATCTGTGTAACATGGGGAGGGAGTAGTGAGCTGAGTGGTTTTCAGCTGCAGCTCTGTGGCTCGTGGAATCTTCCCTTCACAGTGCTTCAGGGAACTTCTGCAGTTAGAACTATTTTACAGGTTAGGGTTTTTGCATTTAAAAAGAAAAAAAAAGTTCTAGCATTGAAAACCCAGTCCCCCTCCAGGCCAGCAGCTGGTCCAGATGGACCCTTATAGCCCCAACAGCTCTGAAGCCCAAGTTCCCTGGGTGGTGGGAAGGATGAGGGTGGGATGAGATCTCAGGGAGAAGCTGAAGGAGCTGGGAGGGGTGTGTGTGTGTGTGCACGTGTGTGTGTCTCAAGTGCTGAGAGCAGGGCCCTGGGAGTGAGGCTGTCCAGCCAGCATGCTGGGCAATACAAAGGAAAATGGCAGAGGATTCTATGAGAAGACAGGCACAGAGATTAAGTAACTGGCCCAAAGACACACAGAAAGTGAGTGGCCATGAATACAGGCCCCCAGGCCCTGAGCCCTTCCCCCCACACCAGAGGCAAGTACCAAACAGGAAAAGAGTTTCCAGCACTTTAAGGTGGGAGGTGTCCGTGTAGGGTGGAGTAAGGCAGGGGAACCTCCTGAAAGAGGTGATGCTTAGGATGCCTTCGGGTGCCACGTCTCGACTCCCTCCTCCAATGTCCACCTAAACAGGCTGGCTCATGCCTACCTCCAAGAGCCCCTTCTTCCCTCCCAGCGGAGAGGATGAAAGAGAGAATTTGTCTTCAAAGGGTGCCCCACGCTGCCAGAGAGATGGCAGATAAAGTGAGGGGTGTTATTAGTGATAATTAGTATTAGCAATTATTGGGAGTCCTGATGCCTGGTGATGGCAGAAACGATGGGTGCAGTGTGATGGAGGGGCAGAGGGTGCTGACCCGTGAGTCTGGGGGTGCAGCCCTGATGTCTGACAGACCCCTACCCAGTGTTAGAGGAGATAAGAAGGCAGGGGAGGGCTGAGTGTGCAGAGTTCAAGTGTGGCTGCTGCCGTCCTGGGGGCTGGGCAGGTCGGGCGGAGCTGCAACTCACACAGGTCGTGCCCTCCAAACCCTGCTGTGACCACGAGGCAGCTCTGCCTCTCACCTGTGTGTGTGCTGCTTGGATGGCTGGACTATTCATTCAACACCAGTGTGAAGACCTAATGTGTGCCAGTCCCTACTTGAGGGGCTGGGGTTTCAGAGAGATGGATGTACGCACAGCCACATGGGGTGACCACACGTTGCACACCCACTGTGCGCCAGGCCCTGTGGAGCTGACAGGCTGGGGGCAGAGATAGATAGACGGTGGGCAGTCCAGCATGAGGAGTGTCCCAGGAGGGAATCCATGGGAGTTGTGCCACTCACAGAGGGGCTGGGGGTGTGGCCAGCAAAGTGACCACCACTGTGTGCTAAGTTCATCCGATGGCATAATGCAGGGCACAGAGCACAGCAGGCTCCTTCATTTGTTCATTCAATTAGCAGAGGTTTCTGCACATCTGGAGTCCCTGGGTGGTGCAGATGGTTAATGCACTCAGCTGCTAACCAAAAGGTTGGAGTCCAAGCAGAGGCACCTTAGAAGAAAGGCCTGGCAATCTACTTCCAAAACATCAGCTGTTGAATACCCTGTGGAGCACAACAATTGGTCCCTATTACCCTGGAGTAACAGAGGAAGGAGAGTCAAGAGTGGAGGAAATGGAATATGTGGCTAATTGCCCCCATGAACAATTGCTTTCTTTGCCGTGACCAGAAGAACTGGATGGTACCTGGCTATCGTTACTGAACATTTGTATCAAAGATTCTATAGAAGAATTCTGATCAAAAGGGGGAAAATGCAGAAGAGAATTTCAAATTCTCATGGACTCCAGACTTTCTGGAGCCATGGAGGCTGGATGAACCCCTGAAACTTTGTCCTAAGATAATCTTTAAACAGTAAACTGAAAATACCGCCTGAAGTTTTCTTAAAACCAGACAATAGTTCAGCTTAACTAGTAAAATAGTCTGCCTTGAGCATTATGCTCTTTTAAGAACAGTCTGTATGGGCTCAAAGTGACAACAACAACTAGAAAGATTAGATAGGAACCTTAGGGGGCAGTGAGTCTATGTTAATGGGGGAGGAACAACTCAGAAAAAGAGGGTGAGAATGGTTGGGCAACTGAAAGAATGTAATCAGTGTTACTGAACTGTACATGCAGAAATTGTTGACTTGGTGTATGTTTTGCTATGTATATTCTCAACGACAACAACAAAAATAAAAGAAAATTAAAAAAAGAGAAAGCATATGGGGTCACCATGAGTTAGAGTCAATGTGACAGCATCTGGTTTCAGCTGCACACCTACTACGTGCCAGGAACTGCCCTGGGGCTGGGGGTACAGCAGGTAACCAGACAGGTTCTTGTGGAATCTCATGGAGGGGAGAGAGACAACAAAAAATAAAGACCGAAGTGCATTCCTCGGCAGGTTAGAAAGTAGGAGGTGATGGGAAAATCACCCTCAAAACAAAAATTACAGGCTAGGAGTGCTAGGTGGGGGTGCAGCTCTAAATGAGGTAGGCTGATGGGGCCTCACTGAGAAGGGAAATGGAGAATAGGCTTGCGGGCCCCTCGAGAGACGGGACGAGTGTGGACGTGCAGCATGAGGTGGGGAGGTGGTTCTCAGGGCAGCTGCTTCTCCCAGCCTGGAGGTGAGAGAGGTGCCTGGACCTGTGTACTGAAGGGTTGGTGACGTTTGCAAAGGAGGAGACATGTGGGGGAACAGCGGGAGCTGGGAAGGTATGTTTGGTGCTGATGACCCTGTGTGCCCTGCCAGGCACGCCTAAGCCACAGGTCACGTGGCGGAAGAGCCTGTCTGTGGAGCCCCTGCGTGGCCGGCCAGGTGTAGCAGTGCTGGATGAAGGGTCTCTGTTCCTGGCCTCAGTCTCGCCCACTGACAGCGGGGACTACGAGTGCCAGGCCATCAATGAGGCAGGCTCCACGTCCAGGAGGGCCAAGCTGGTGGTCTTTGGTGAGCAGGGTCCCCAGAGCTGGGGGGCCAGGCAGTGGCAACGTGGGATTGCTTGTACTCACCTCCTATGGCCCAGTCTGGCCAGAGGCCTCTAGGATGCCAGGGCCTGGGGACACACTGGGGTGCCCAGAGGTGGCAGTGCCAGCTCCCCAGGGCCCGAGAGCTCACTGCAAGGGAAGGCTGCGTGTCCCTGCTCCTGGGAACCTAGAGAGGGGAGCATTTGGGGATGTTGGGTGAGCGGCAGGTTGCACTGGGTGCACCCCCTTCCCCAGAGAGATCCCCAAGGAGACAGTGTATGGGGAACCACCTGGAACTCCATAAATGGATTTTAAAAGGGTCTAATAGGTGAATTGATTTTAAAACGAGCCCCATTTTAATGGAGAGCCTCAAAGCCCACCTCCAGGATGTATGGAGGGAGGGGAGCTCTGCCCCTTTACCTTCACACAGGCACAGTGGGTGGGGGCTGTCCTTGCCAATAGGCTGAATCTGAGCCTCGGTCAGTTTTACCGGCTCTTAATGGTCACCTTGTAGTTCCCGTGACCAGCCACCCCAGTCACCATCTAACGAATTGCTCAGGCAGTTTGTTACAAAGACACGCCCATGCTTTGAATTCTGACTCAGGAGACCAGGGTGGGGCCTTCCCGGGGACTGTGACGACAGGCTGGGTGTGAGGACAGGGTGGAGCCAGGGGTCCCAGTATCTTGCAAAGCGGAATGTCAGAGAGGGCAGCACCAGTGGCTTGGTCAACCGAGGGTGTGCCCATCCCAGCAAGGCTGCCATGGCCTCCTGTTTGAATCTTGAGAGATGTAGCATCCCCAGGCCTGCAGGGCTCCCCGAGGCCACAGCCACACCAGGAGCTGGGGTGACGGGCCCAGTGAATCTGGGGGCGGGGAGGGAGACAGGGCTTCCCGTCCAGGCCACAGAGAATGGCCCAGGCTAGGTCCAAGTGGATGTGGCTCTGCGGGGGGGGGGGGGGAGGCAGGGGCAGCTTCTCTGCTTCTTGCTCCCCAAGTGCCCCCCAGCATCCGGGAGGACGGACTCAAGACCAACGTGTCGGGCATGGCAGGGCAGTCCCTGACACTGCAGTGTGATGCGAATGGCTTTCCTGCCCCCGAGGTCAAGTGGCTCAAGGATGGGCAGCTGGTGGGTGACCCCCTGGGGCAGACAGCTGGGGGTGGGATCTGCATAGGGGCGGACCTTCTGGACAGGTGTTCTCCATACGTTCCACGGTATGGTGGTGAGACTGTGACAGGTGGCTTTGGGGATGGCAGGGAAGTGCGATACGGGTTTGTGGGGACTGTAGTCTCATGATGAAGTCTGGGGGACTGCATGGTGGAGCGGGTAGGGCACCTTATCACTAAAGTGGGTGGCTCACCAGCTCCCTCTGGCCTCGTTCACCCAGATCCCTGAGGCTGGCAGCCACCACCTCCTGGATGGGGCCCGGTCCCTCCACTTCCCCAGGGTAGAGGAGGGTGACTCTGGCTTCTACTCCTGCTGGGCCGAGAACCAGGCCGGGACGGCCGTGAGGGACTTCGAGCTCCTGGTGCTCAGTGAGTGAACCCCGGGGGCCAAAGGAAGAAGGCAGACTTTGCAAGGGTGGGGTGAGGTGACAGGATGGCTGGAGGCCCTGCACCCTTCCCTTGTGTGTTCAACTATTGTATTGACCACCTACTGTGTGCCAGGCCCTGTGCTGAGAGCAGGGGCCAGGGGGACCTCACAGACCAGGTTCTGCCTCACAGAACTAAGGGGTGGGGGAAGACATTAGACAATCATGCAATTAATCAAGTCATTACAGTTGTGTTAGAGCTACAAAAAGGTGTTATATTCTACCAAGAAAGCACAGTGCAAGGGCCCAATCCAGCCCAGGGGTCTGGAAGAGCTCCTTGAAGAATGAGGCGATGGGAAGAATGTACCACGTAGGGGGGGCACCCCGCACATGCAAAGCATCGTCTGGAGGAGGGGCTTAGCGAGTTTGGGGAGTTTTCACCCCTTATCCCTGTTGCTCCCAGCCCCGCCGTCTCTGCTCGGAGCGGGGACTGCCCAGGAGGTGCTGGGCCTGGCAGGTGGAGAGGTGGAGCTGGAGTGCTGGACTTCTGGGGTCCCCACGCCCCAGGTGGAGTGGACCAAGGACGGGCAGTGAGTGGCCCCCTGGCGGGTGGCATGGAGGTGGTGCCCAGGCCTGGCGGGGTGCATGGGGGCCATTGGGAGGTTGGACTCTGGGGGGCAGAGGAAACCTGACGGGCACTGTACCCACCTCACAGTGCGCGGCAGAGCCCTGGTGCCCAGGTACAGGGCATCCCAAGCCCCTTCCGTCCCCGGCCCTGAGATCGCCCAGGCTGGCCCTCCGCTCACATCTCAGCAGACGTTCCATGTTGACAGCCCTTCACGCAGCCTTCTTCCCCCTCCTTCATCTCTCTCTTCTTTTTTGTTGAGGCAAAATTCTGTCACAAAGTTAACCATTTTCAAGTGTACAATTCAGTGACCTTTAGTAAATTCCCTATGTTGGGCAACCATCACTTCTGTCTAGTTCCAGAACGTTTCATCACCCCAAAAGGAAACCCCACACCCATGAGCAGTCACTCTCCACTTCCCCCACCCCCAGTCCCTGCCAACCACTAATCCATTTTCTGTCGCTATGGATTCACCTATTCTGGAAACATCATATAGGTAGAATTAGACAATTCGTGGCCTTTTGTGTCTGACTTATCTCACTTAGCATCCTGTTTTCAATGTTCATCGTGCTGTGGCATGTATCAGTGGCTCGCTCCTTTTTATGGCTGAGTAACACTCCATTTGGAGCCTGGTGGAGCAGTGGTTAAGAGCTTGGCTGCTAACCAGGTTGGCAGTCCAAATCCACCAGCCGCTCCTTGGAAACCCTATGGGGCAGTTCTACCCCGTCCTGTAGGGTCGCTCTGAGTCGGACCCGACTTGACGGCACCTAACAACAACGGCAGTACTCCACTGTGTGATTATACCACATTTGTTATCCATTCCCCAGTTGCAGGGCATTTGGGTAGTTTCCACTTTTTGGCTGTTGTGAGTTGTTTTCGGACTTCCTTTTTACGAACATTTTCGTTATTATTAAAGCAGCTGTGCCATAGTGTGAAAATGAAAGTCGACTTAATGCTGACAGAGTACTTCCTGTGTGCCACGCCCGGTGCTGGCCACAGGGGAGAGAGCCGTGAGCAAAGCTGTCCCCGTTCCTCCCTCGTGGGCTCTGGGACTATGGGGGAGACAAACCCAAGCAAGCGTTTTCAGGGGGTGGGGACTGTTGTTGTTGGGTGCCGTCGAGTCGATTCCGACTCATAGCAACCCCAAATGACAGAGTAAAATGCCCCCTAGGGTTTTCTTGCCTATAATCTTTATGGAAGCAGATTGCCAGGTCTTTTCTCCCTTGGAGCTGCTAGGTAGGTTTGAACTGGCAACCTTTCAGTTAGCAGCTGAGGGCGTAACTGTTGTGCCACCAGGGCTCCGGGGGTAAGGACTAGCAGTGGGATATTCCCACTTATGCTGAGGCAGAAACCCAGGCACAAGGAGGTTAGGTAAGCTGCCTGCAGTCACCCAGGGTCAGCAGTAGAGGCAGGATTGGAGCCCTGTGTGTCTGGCTCCGTGGCCCATGCTTTGCACCCCATATACTGTTCTGAGAATCACTAGGATGAAGTATGCCTTGAACTAGTCTTTAACAGCCAGGTAGGACTTGGAGAGGCTAAAGGCAAGACAGGGCACTGTAGGTGGGGGGAACAGCATGGGCAAAGGTGTAGAGGTGTAAGTGCACAGGTCATGACTGGGAATAGAGTCCAGGCTGTGCCTGGAGCTGTAGGAGATAAGATGGAAGGAACCCACATGAGCCCAATAGTACAGAGGCAGAGTCTTAACCTCTCTGTGACTCAGTGTTCTTATCTGTATAATGGGCCAGGAGTCCCTGGGTGGTACAAATTGTTAATGCATTCAGCTGCTAAATGAAAAATTAGCCATTGAAAACTCTACAGAACACAGTTCTACTATGACACACATGGGTTAGTATGAGTCAAAATCAACTTGATGAAAACTCCTTTTTTTTTTTTTAAGTGGGACCACCCCCTGCTTGAATGCCAGGCTGAAGGGGTTTGGGCCTAGCCCCTGGGTGTGCTCACTCTCTAGGTGGATGGGAGGGAATGGAAGCCTTTTGACCAGGACTCACAGACTGGAGGGGCCAGGTCAACCGTGGCCTGCAAACAGCTTTCACTTGGCAGGCAGGTTTTTAAATTTTGTTTTTTTAGTTTTAAAACTGTTCACTGGAGCATAATTTATGTACCATAAAACTCAACCACTGTAAATATCCAGTTTAATGGTTTTTAGTAAATCTGTAGAGTTGTGCAACCATCACCACAAATCGGTTTTATAACATTTCTATCACCCCCAAAAGTTCCCCTGTGCTTGTCCGTGGTCGATCCCTGGCTCCCCACTTAGCCCCAAGCAACCAGTGATCTGCTTTGACCCTGCAGGTTCAGTAGGAGTTTAAGAACCTATTAATTTGAGGCCCAGGCCTGGGAGAGGGGAGGCAAGGAGGCATTTGCATGATCCTAAGAGCAAGCACTTCCTTACTTGCTTTAGCCTGTTAGTCCTGGCCCTGTTGAGGCCCACAGGTGGCTGCACTGCTTGTGTCTCCAGGGCCCACCTCCACCCCCTGTTGTTCCACTGCCCCTGCCTGGCCATGGAGGGCAGCAGAGTTTCTGGTCCCTGCCCAGGTTTGCTGAGGCTCCACTGAGCTCCCTTCTGGACAGCCTGCCCCTGCCGGGGCCTGGCCTCACTGATGGTTTTCTCTTGACCATCTCCCCAGACCCATCCTTCTGGAAGACCCTCATGTCCAGCTCTGGGAGGACGGCCAGGTTCTCAGGATCACCAGCGGTCACCTGGGGGACGAGGGGCAGTACCAGTGCGTGGCTTTCAGCCCAGCCGGCCAGCAGGCCAAGGACTTCCAGCTCAGAGTGCACAGTGAGCCCTGCCCCTCCGGGCCCCTGCCCAGACCCTAGGCCCCCTCAAATCCGTGCCATGGGTGACTCCCAAAGCTTCCTGCCTGGCTGCCTGCTTGGCTGCTGCTTCCTTGGAAGAAGGATAATGGCAGAAATGGGGGCCCTTGGGGGAGCCTCCCAGGCCAAGGAAGCCGGGGTGGGGAGCCCAGAGGGAACTCTAACCAGTCCCAGTTTTTCCCATCCCTGCCACACACGTTTTACTATCTGAAAGCGCTTGGTATGATTTTTTTTTTTAACTTTTTCTTTAAATCAAGTCACTTCTTTACACTGAAACACATTTATTTAAAAGGATATTTCCTATTTCAACTATAAGTGGAAAACCAGGGCCACATGGCATTAATGGAAGGGAACTAAAAACAAATGCAGCGTGAGAGCAATGTGGTAAATTCCTGCTGTGTGAGCTGCCTGCAGAGGTCCTCGAGTCCATGCCTGTGCCCTCGGCTGAAGAGGGGAGAGTAGAAAGTGCTAGAAAAGTTAAGGACATAACATCAAACGGAGCCCTTCCCTTGTCATAATCAGGATGGAAGGAGATTTGGAAAGGGCCTAGCTTTTTGCTTTTGAGACTCAGTGTTATTTCATGCCATGCCCATGTGTCACCTAAAATCATCTTGGGTGCCACCAGTGGTGTGTGACCTGCCCTGTGGGAAGCCCTGATCTAGCCCACCCCCTCACTTTACAGATGGGGAAACTGAGGCCCAGATTGGGGAAATGACCTACTCTGGGCTATACAGTGAGTTAGAGGCAGAGTGGGGTCCAGAGCCTGAACCTATGTCCCCTCTCCCCTCCTGTGATGACTGACCATGCTTCCCACATCAGCAAGTCCTGAGATGGCCCTCTATCTGGCCCCCAGGTCCTCACTCTCCCCACACCCCCCATACCTTCCCACCCCTGTGGTAGAAGACTTGGGACGTGGGACTGTGCTTTTGGCCCACTGGCATGTGCCTGCCACTCTCGGGGAGGACGCCAGACACCTCTGGGAGCTCCCTGTGACTGCCTCCCCCCCACCTTGTCCTCCTCAGCACCTCCCACCATCTGGGGCTCCAATGAGACCAGTGAGATGATTGTCATGGAGGGCCACCCAGTACGGTTCCTGTGTGAGGCCCGGGGAGCCCCTGCTCCCGACATCACCTGGTTCAAGGATGGGGTCCCACTCCCCATCAGCGTCAAGGCAGTCTACACCAGGGGTGGCCGGCAGCTGCAGCTGGGGAGGGCCCAGGGCTCAGATGCCGGCGTCTATACCTGCAAGGCCAGCAATGCTGTGGGGGCAGCCGAGAAGGCCACCAGGCTGGAGGTTTATGGTGAGTGGGCTGGGGTTGCAGCTGTGGAGGGGATGTCTCAACAGGGGGTTTCAGCTAGTGGAGGTGAGAGAGGGAAGTATTTCACATGGGCTGGGGTCAACGAGGGGCTTACCTAGGCTTAGTGGGCTGGCTGGCTGGACATTGGCTCCTGGGCCAAGAGCAGGCTTGTATCGGGCTGTGGTCCCTGAGCAGCTCCCGTGCTTCTTCCCTAGTCCCACCCACCATCGAGGGTGCTGATGGAGGACCACGTGTGGTGAAGGCTGTGGCTGGGAGGCCCTTGGTGCTGGAATGTGTGGCCAGAGGTCACCCACATCCCACCCTCTCCTGGCACCACGAGGGGCTGCCTGTGGCAGAGAGCAATGCGACATGGCTGGAGGCAGGAGGCGCGCTGCGGCTGGAGAGCCTGGGGGAGACATCCGGAGGCCTGTACAGCTGTGTGGCCGGCAGCCCTGCCGGGGAGGCTGTGCTGCAGTACTTGGTGGAGGTGCAGGGTGAGCCCCTCAGGCCTGGCCCACCCACAGCCATCTGGGCTTGTGGGCCCTTCTCCCAGCACTAATTGAACACCTACTGTGTGCTTGTTCCCTCGCAGCCTCCTGAGGGCATGGAGGGTGGAGGAGAAGAGCCAGTGTCCCCCATTGTGTGCAACAGACAGAGACACTGAGACCTGGGCTGGGGATCCCACAGGGCTAGGAGGGGGCAGGGTTGGCACAGAGCCCGGTATCAAGGGCCCTTGCACTTGCCCAGGACTCTGTGCTGGGTCCACCAGGCAGGACGGAGGGCATCGTTTCTGCCTTTCAGGAGATGCCTGTGGAATGGCCATTCATCAGGAACTACTGAGGCCCCAAGCTATTGGCCCCAGGGATGGGGTGCGCGGGGCCTTTGCCTGCCTTTTCCTTCATTTGACAGGCATTTATCAAGCATCTGTTGTGAGCTGCCTGGTTTGGTGTTGGAGATAACGTGGGAACAAGGGCGATGGGACTCCTGCCCCTGGGGAACCCTTGGTCTGGTGGGGAGATGGGCATTAAATGAGCAGGCCCAAGCCAGTGGGGGAGTCAGATGGGGTCTTCACCCGGCCTTGGGGTGGTCCTGGAAGGCCTTCTGGAGGAGGAGCACTTATGGGGAAACTTGAAGCATGAGGTGAGGGGCTTGGGCCTTCTTCCCCTGAGGGCAGTGGGGGCTTGGGAAGGCTGTAGGCTAGGGTTTGCTCAGCTCTAAACACCCGATGGTGGGTCCTGCCCACAGTGCCCCCGCAGATCCTAGTAGCTGAAGGCTTGGGCCAGGTGACCGCCATCGTTGGACAGCCCCTGGAACTGCCCTGCCAGGCCTCAGGCTCCCCGGTGCCCACTATCCAGTGCGTAAGGGGTGGTGAGGCCTGGGCTAGAGGTGGGGGGTAGAGTTGGGTGTGGATGGGGCAGGGAGAAGTACCCCTCTTCCCTGGAGTATGAAAAAGGTAGGTGGGGATACTGCGAAGCTGCCTGGATTGCCCTGCCCGGCCCTGCCCTCCCTCTCTCAGGCTGATGCCTCCTCCCCACCCACCTCAGGTGGCTGCAGAATGGCCACCCCACCGAGGAGCTGGCCGGGGTACAGGTATCCTTGCAGGGGGCAACACTGCACATCGACCACGTGGATCAAGGCCACGCAGGCCTCTTTGCCTGCCAGGCCACCAACGAGGCAGGCACTGCTGGGGCAGAGGTGGAGGTGTCTGTACACGGTGAGCAGGCGTCTGGGCTTCTGGGGCTGTGGGCTGGCTGAGATGCCAGGGCTATGGCCATCTATGCCCTTGGCAGGCCTGGAAGGGGTATGAGGCCTGTCTTCTGTGGACAGTGTTTCGGGGCTGGACTTCCTGGTTCTCCACAGAAAGGTAGGGTGTGAGTGACAGGCCTCAGTTAGTTATCACACTTGTCATCTGTCTTGTCCAGCCCATAGGCCCTTGCTCCCCTCTCCAGCCTCCTTCCTCACCACTTGCTCTCTTTGTGTTGACCATGCAGAACTTCTTTAACTTCCTTCAACACGTCAGCTCTCTCTCTCTTACCTCTGAGTCTTGTGTATGCTGTTTCCTCTGCCTGGAACATTCTTCCTCCTTCTCTGCCTGCCTAACTCCTCCTTATCTTTCAGGTCAGTGCTAAAGCTCCCCTTCCTCCAGGAAGCCTTCCTCGATTTCACCATGTTGACTCTGCCTAGTCTGTCATGGCCACAGCCTGTCACCCACTGTAGTGGAATTGCTTAGTTGTCCATCTCGGCTGCCCAGCTCTGTGAGCTCTGAGAGGACAGTCCAGTAGCTGTCATGCTCTGCTGTGTCCCTGTGCCCAGTGCAGATATGGGTTCAGAGCAGATGCTCTATGCACATAGGAATAAATGGCTGGATTGGTTGGTTCAGAGAATGTCTAAAGTGCTGGCTCCCAGTCTGCAGCTCTTTCCCTAAGCTGGTGTCTGAGAGGCAGGTTTGGGAGGAGGCTAGAGGCCAGCCCTTGGCCAACCCTGAAATGCCAACTCCTTAGCTCCCTGGGCACTGAGGGGGTTCATGGGTGCCCACTGCACCCCTGCTGACCCTGACCTGGGACCTCCCCGCCTCTGCCCTGGCCAGAGCCCCCATCGGTCGACATCATCGGGGGTGAGAACATCACAGCCACTTTCCTGCAGCAAGTGACCCTCCAATGCATAGGGACTGGGGTGCCTGCCCCGAGCCTCCGCTGGTGGAAGGATGGGGTGGCCCTGGCAGTCCTGGGGGGCAATCTGCAGGTATGTACAGGGGCCCTAGGGCTGGTGGGACAGCTGGGCGCGGGTGGAGGGGCCACTTCTTGGGGTCCCTGAGACTCTGAGGGGAGCCCTGGCAGCCTGGGGGTAGGGTAGGCACAGTCCTCATTTACCTGGGAGATCAGTAGACCCTGGGGATGCTGGACCTGAAGAGGGGATGGGTCCTTGGACTATTCCAGGTCCCAGGAGCTGCAGCTACAGAAGGGAGAAAATGGGGCGGGGGTGCATGCCCAAGGTCAGCAGAATCCTCTAGACTCCTGAGTGCTCGGCTCACAACTCTACCCCCAGAACTAAACTCGACCCCCTGGAGGTCAGCAGTAGCCTGGCCACTTGCCATGTTCTGTTTGGTTCCCTGTACTCACATCCCCAAGGCGCACACTCTTTCCTTCCTCCTTCCCCCCCAGATTGAGAAAGCAGGCCTGAGGGACGAAGGTGTCTACACTTGTGTCGCCACCAACCTGGCTGGGGAGAGCAAGAGGGACTTAACACTAAAGGTCTTGGGTGAGGACATGACCCAGGGCCCCAGATGACGGGTGATCCCTTGAGGGCCCTTGGGCTGGGGTGGGTTGTGTTGTTGTTCTTGTTAGGTGCCAACAAGTGGGTTCTGATTCATAGCGACCCCATGTACAACAGAACGAAACACTGCCCGGTCCTGCACCATCCTCACGATTATTGTTATGCTTCAGCCCATTGTTGCAGCCACTGTGTCAATCCATCTCATTGAGGGTCTTCCTCTTTTTTTGCTGGATTGTGGGGAGGAGTTTAAATCATAGTCATGCACTTTAGAAGAAGTAGAAAGTCATAAAATTAAAGTGTGAGCTATTGCTCTGTGGCCCCTTCCACTTGTTTTCTATGGGATCCCTCATTGTAGTCCCTACCCATGTTTATATTTGCCTTGGCTCTTTTCATGCATTTTTTGGTTCACTTGTGTCCTTGCCTATGTAGGTGAATCCCTGCACTTCTCACTTCTCACAGCTGAGTAGGATCCTGTCCCCGCTGTGCACATTGGCTGTTCCTGGGGAGCTGGGCACTGGGACTGTTCTTGTCGTACCATTGTAACGGAGATTGGGGCCAATTGCCCTTGGGCTTGGGTTCCAGGAGTGTACTGCTTCAGTCAGCGGACTGGAGCCAATTTAGAGCCCTTGCTGCCCAGGACTCTTTAGGAGGAAGGGGAAAGGCATCGGGAATGGCTGAGATTTGAACTTCCCCCAGGGTCTCTTTATCTCCCCCTAGTGCCTCCCAACATTGAGCCAGGTCCAGTCAACAAGGCAGTGCTGGAGAATGCCTCGGTGGCCCTGGAGTGTCTGGCTTCAGGTGTGCCCCCTCCTGGTAAGACCCCTTCTTTTGGCTGAAAGCCTCCTCCAGCTAGCCCAATTCCCCATCTAATGAGACTGGAAGTTCCCCAGGCATCACTCTGCCTGGGGACATAACCAGGAGAGATCATCAGGCCCTTCCCACTATTTCTTCTATTTTCCCCTTCTCCTTCACAGTAGCTGTATATCCAATGCCCAATATGTGCAGGTCACTGCTGGGGCCCAGAGCCTTTGCACTGGTGGCTGAAGCAAATCTGAGGGGCTTCTACTCAGAGTTTGCAGCTTCACAGGGGCAGAGGCCCATGGCCTCCAAGTCACCATCTGGCTGGCCTCTTCTCTAAACCAACAGTTTAAGGAGGGGCAGGGAGCATGGGTCTAGGCGCAGGTGCTCTGCCTACAGGACGGGTCTGGGCTTATCATGGGTCCAGAAGGAGGACCCATGTGCTGTGTCTCATCCGAACCACGTCCACCCTGTTTTGCCTGGGGTAGGTGAACCCTGGGGGAGGTGTCTTTGCCCATCCCAAGGGAGACATCTATTGGGTTCTGGGATGGGCCCTGGCAGAAGGTAAAGAAGCTGAAGATACAAAGGTCCTATTCTGATTTGTGAGGCTGCCATTTTGGAGTGGACCATGGTCTCCCCCAAAGCTCTCCCTGGTGAGATGATCTCCTGGCAAAGGGAAGACATGAGGGGTGCTAGGCTGGGCATGGCTCTCCCTCTTCCTGGTGTCCCACCCTTTATCCCATAGGGCTTCCTCTCTGCCCTTTGTCCTGTCTCAGGTAACACTGCTGTTCCACACCCTGCCCCTCTTCCCGGAGAACTCTAGCTTTCTTAAGTGCCTGGAATAAAGGCAGACCATGTGGCCACCTTGGAAGCCTCTCCTGAATGCCTGTAGCACTGGCAGAGTTTGAAAGACTGGCAGGATCCCTGACATTTTTCTGTTTTTCTTCCCCAGATGTCTCCTGGTTCAAGGGCCACCAGCTTGTCTCCGCCAGGACAGGAGTGACGGTATCAGCTGATGGGAGAGTTCTTCTCATTGAGCGAGCCCAGCTTTCTGATGCTGGGAGCTACCGCTGCGTGGCATCCAATGTGGCGGGCAGCACAGAGCTGCATTATGGCTTGCGGGTCAATGGTAAGCTGCCTTGGGACTGGAGGGATCCTTGTTCAGAAAGCTGTCTCTCCATCTATTTGTTGAACAATAGTCCATCCATCCATCCATCCATCAATCCATCCATCCATCCATCCATCCATCCATCCATCCATCCAGCCAGCCAGCCAGCCAGCCAGCCAGTCACCCACCCACCCAGTCAGCCAGCCATCTATCCATCTTTGCAGACATCCAACAATCTATCCATTGATCCAACTCTCCATTCATCCATGCATCCAACCGTCCATCCATTGATCTAACCATTCTTCCATCCAGCCCTCCAACCACCCATCTAACTGTTCATCTGTCCATTCACCCATCCCTCCATCCATTTGTTCATCTATCCATCTTCTATCCAACCACATTCATTGAGTACATGCTCTGGGTAAGACCCAAAGGCTGCAGCCCTGAGCAAGACAGACCCAGGATCTTTCAGTCTATTGGAGGATATAATAATTAGATAATTCCCCAAATCATTGTTTCATGTCAGGTGTGATAAGAGCTAGACAGGTGAGGTGCAGGCTGCTCGGAGTGCCTGTAACCAGGGCAGACTGGCTTGGCGAGTCTGGGAGGCATCTTTGAGACCAAGATGCTTAACCCGAGGTCTGAGGCTGGAGAAACCTGGGGAATTTGAGGAACAGAAAGGAGACTGGAGAAGCTGGAGCTTATAAAACAAAGAGAGGAGGGGGCAGGGCAGTGCTGCTGGCCAGATGGAGGCTGGACCTCAAGAGCCTCGTGGGCCATAGGGAGAAGTTGGGTCTTTATCCTAAGAGCAGTGGGTGACTGGGCAGGTGGCTAGGACCCTGGGCATCATGGCTTTTGCCTCCCGGATATGACTGAATCTTCTGACTGCTTCCTGCTGAAGAAGGGCTGATATCTCTGAGATGGGAAACAGAACCTCTCCAGCGGATCCTCAGCTCCTTGTTACCTCACCACACCCCCGCAGTAAATGACCTCATCCTAACCAAAAGGCCCAAGTTCAAGTGCCGATTCTGCCGCGGCCTAGCTGGTTGAGCTTGGGCAGGTGATGGCCCCTCTGGAGCCTCAGTTTCCTGTCTGTAGAAGCCTCAAAGTATCATTGAGAACTATGGAGTGGCATGCCGTCTCCCAAGCAGCTGTCCCTGTGCTTTTTTGGTGCCACCACTCCTGTGGAGGTGCTTGGAGGGGGCAAGGCTGCTCCTTCAAAGGGAGCACATCTGGGGCCACCTGCTTCACCCCAGCTCAGCGGGCGGCTCTGTGTGGTCCCCACCCTGCAGTGCCTCCGCACATCACTCTGCCACCCAGCTTGCTGGGCCCCGTGCTCCTCAGCACCCCTGTTCGGCTGACCTGTAATGCCACTGGAGTCCCCAGCCCCACACTGATGTGGCTGAAGGATGGAAATCCCGTGTCTGCTGCAGGGACACCCGGCCTCCAGGTCAGTAGAGCTGGAGATCCTGGTTCACCTCCCTGGTGCCTCCCTCCATAGGAGCTTAGGGGTGAGGGACAGGCAGTGACAGCCCAGAGGCATTGGCTGGAGGAAGGAAGGAGGGGCTGCTTGTGAGGCACAGAGAGGTCCAGAGCTGCAGTGTTCAACAGAAACAATTCTCGCCACATGTGTAATTTAAAATCTTCTAGTAGCTGCGGGAGAAAGATGTGGCGATCTGCTTCTGTAAAGACTACAGCCAAGAAAACCCTATGGGACAGTTCTCCTCTGACACATGGGTCTCTTTGAGTCCGAATCAACTCAACGACACCCAACAACAGTAGCCATATTAAGGAGCCACGGTGCTGAAAACGGTTTAGCAGTTGACTGCTAACCGAAAGGTTAGCGGTTCAAACACACATAGCACTTCTGCATTTCTGTAAAGATTACAGCCAAGAAAACCCTATGGGGTAGTTCTGCTCTGTCACATGGGATCTCTGTGAGTTGGAATCGAATCCACAGCAACTAACAACAATAAGTTAAGAGAAACAGGGGGAGCCAATTTTAATAATACATTTTATTTAATCCAATGTAGCCAAAATATGATCATTTCATCATGTGATCAACATGAAAAAGCATAAATGAGACATTTCACATTCTTCTTTTCATACTAACTCTGAAATTGGTTGTGTAGTTTACACGTATGGCTCATCTCAATTCGGACTGGCCGCATCTCAAGGGTTCACTAGCCACATATGGTGGTGAGTAGCCACCATAGTGGACTCTTGAAGGCTGGTGTAAGTGGCCTGCCAGCTGGCAGAGGTTATACCTGAGGACTGGTGTAAGCTCATGGTTTTCTTGCATTCTGGGGGTCTCTGGAGGTCTTGAGCGGGCTGCCCAGGCATGCCAGTCAGCAGGGCCTTCTTGTGAGTGTGTGGCTGCTGCCCTTTGACGTGTGTGACAGCGGACGTCCAGCCTAATCAGGGCTTTCTTCTGGGGGCACAGGTCTTCCCTGGCGGCCGGGTCCTCACCTTGGCCAGTGCCCGGGCCTCCGACTCTGGCAGCTACTCCTGTGTGGCCGTGAGTGCAGTGGGCGAGGACCGTCGGGATGTCGTCCTGCAAGTCCACAGTGAGTCTAAGGCCCGGGAAGCCTGCGTGGTCTAGGCCAACAGCTCTGGAAAGGTGGGCCGGGGCAACCCTCGCTACATCCAGAGGAAGAGAGGGCAGCAGGCCACAAAGGGTTTCGCTATTTGCAGTGGCCTGAGACTGTGGCTGCTTCATGTGGCAGAGACCTTCTCTCCCTGTGTGTGAGCACCCCCATGGTGAGCAAGCGGGCTCTGGGCAGCAGCCCTGCATAACCAGGAGCTCTGTGTTTGGGGGAAAGGTGGAAGGAGCATGAAGTAGCAGGAGGAGCACCAGGCCAAGACCCAGGAGGCCCTGCATCCCCACTGTTGTGGGTCCAATGGGGAAAGTGCATTCTGGAAAGGCAGTGTGGGGGTGATGGCTAGGAACAGACTCTTGACTGTGGTGGACCTGGGGTTCCAACCCTGCCTTCTTTTTTTTTTCAAGTTTTTTTTTTTTTTGTATTGTACTTTAGATGAAGGTTTACAGAACAAATAGTTTCTCACTGAACAGTACACACATTGTTTTATGACAATGGTTAACAACTTCACAACATGTCAACACTGTCCCTTCTCAAACTTGGGTTCCCTATTACCAGCTTTCCTGTCCCCCCCTGCCTTCTAGTCCTTGTCCCTGGGCTGTTGTGCCCCATTAGTCTCATTTTGTTTCATGCGGCTGTCTACTCTTTGGTTGGATTGTGAACCTCGGGAGTGACTTCATTACTGAGCTAAAAGTGTGTCTCGGGGCCATACTCTCAGGGTTTCTGCAGTCTGTCAGGCCAGTAAGTCTGGTCTCCTTTCGTGAATTAGAATTTTGTTCTGCATTTTTCTCCAGCTCTGTCCAGGACCCTCTGTTGTGATCCCTGTCAGAGCAGTCAGTGGTGGTAGCTGGGCACCATCTGATTGTACTGGACTCAGTCTGGTAGAGGCCGTGGTAGTTGTGGTCCATTAGTCCTTTGGACTAATCTTTCCCTTGTATCTTGTTTTCTTCCTTCTCCCTTGCTGCCGAAGGGATGAGACCAGTGGAGTATCTTAGATGGCCGCTCACAGGCTTTTAAGACCCCAGACACTACTCACCAAGGTAGAATGTAGAACATTTTCT